TTCGGTGGAACTTCGCCAATTGGCAAAAGTCCACTGTACTTTCGCCAACACATTCGGTGGAACTTCGCCATTGGCGAATGTCTTATTGGCGAAAGTCTTATTGGCGAACATACCGCCACCCTAGAGAACACCTTAAGTTATCGATTGGTCAAAAAAGAAGTTTTCTATCCTTGCTGTATTTCTAAACAAGAGGACTCACAAAAACGATACTCATAAAATTGTTAAGAAAAGTGGTCCCCAGTTTTTTCCGTGTCTGTTTGTACCCACAAAAGACATTCATTTCAACGATGTGCTGCCCGGCAAGTATCAGCGAAAGCTAATGCTGTTGAATCGGGTGCTTTTTAAAGCCTTTCCACGCATCAATTGAAAAAGCGACGATACGAAAACAAATAGCAATTGGAGTTGCCATATAGGGGTAGTGGTGTGAAAAAAAGATATAGAGATCCTCCTCTGGGCGCAACGATTCTTAGTATTTATCTATTTAGATAAATAAAGAGATTGTTGTTCTTGATAAATACAAGTATCGTTTCTATACAATAATGCTTTTTACTTCCTTTGACGTTCGACGATTAAATATCATGCGGAAAATGAACGAAACGAACCTATGATATTATAACTGGTTACCTGAATCGTGTCTCTAACCGTTCAACTGTGGAAACACGGCACATATAATTATATCGTTCATTTTCTGAATGATATAAAATCGTTGAGACATTAATGTCACTTACATTTATTCAAATCACGCGCACAAAGCGAAGCTTTCTTTAACAAAGTCAATATGATGAAAATGTTTTATACTCTTCTTATCAGGGGGTAAATAAAACAGTTAAATGATAGAGAAGAGTATATATAACTACAATGAGGATTGAGGGGGAGGGGGAGTTATGTACTCAATTTCTGGCAGATTCAAAGGCAAATGCGACACGTTTTGACTACAGGTTAACTTAGTTATCATCGGGTATCTTTAGAATCTGCTATTACAAAGAAAATAAAACATATTTTATCCAAAAGAGATACTTGTTTTTAATGAAACATACAGCTATTTTTATTTCTTAATAAATATTTAATCTGCCATAGCTATATGGCAATTATTCTGATTCTTGAGTGTGAATCAAGTATACTATGATCTAATGTCAGAAATCTGTAGGTTTTGCTATCTGGGCAAGATGAAAATTATTTTATTTTGTTTTGTTTTCTCAGTTATCTTCGTAGGCTAGCTGAATTTGAAAGATTTATTGGTATCAGAAAAATTTTACAATAGGAAAGAATAAAATTTCCAAATTTTCTCATGCACAAGTTACGATTATTTCGTGTTCCGCCTATGAACTTCTTTATAACGATCTTTATTTTGCCAAAGGAGTCGCACCGTATTTTGTGTATAATCGATTTATGTTGTGCGAACCAGCTTTCATAGGTTTAATGGGTGATCATGCGATATTGGCCATTCGTGTATTGCTGGTTATTCCATAATTCTAATTTCACCAAAGAGTCTGTGGTTGTTGATGGTCTGTTCTGATCAGAGACGTGCACAGGGCAGGGCGGTCCTGCTGTCCTGGTGTCCTGTCCTGCCCTGTCCTGGAGGACAGGATGAGATTTCGATTTTTGTCTTGCCCTGACGCCCGCCAGGACCAAAGTAGCCAGCAGGACAGGTTAGGACAGGACGAAAAATCTTTTCCTGTGCAGGTCTCTGGTTCTGATCGATTTGATTAGCAATTTGAGATGTTCTTGCATGTTTGCCCAGTGTTACTTTTGCTAACATTTGATTTCTCAATTGAAGATATTCGTGTTCATCGTGAATGATGTGCGCAAAAGACGTTGTATGTGTGTGCGTGGGCAACGAGGATGGCCATTTGTCCATAATCGCACTGGTACACTCACACCCACGCCCTGCTTTATTTGGCCAATAGGATTTCAATCGCATGGACTTTTAAATAGCCAACATAATTACTCATGTTATCAAATATATTCACTATTGCCATTATATTTATACACGAAGAAATTTTCATTTCGAATATACCCAATGTTTATTATACACACATTTATTAGCGGTATTTTCAGTTATTTTTATTTCCATTGTATGCATTATTGAATATTTTGACAATAATTTAAAAAATTGTTCAATATCAAATGACGGAAATTATTCTGGGAATTTAAGAATCATTCTTTGTCATATGAAATTTATCGAGAAAAAAATTTCAACCAACTTCTATTCTTATCGAATAAATTTGTATAATTCACATATGTTCATTTGTTGCTTAATGGTTTTATTATTTTTTCTTCTCAATAAACGATTTACAAGTCATACCTTTGTTGAACCGTGTTTTTATAGGTATAAAAATAAAAACAATAATTTCAACCCTTCGATCTAAATTTTTAATCGTTTTGTTTTCATCGAACTGCCTGTTAATAACACAATCAAAACGTGAGATTGTTGGCAATACTATTTAAAAAAATGTGCAAATGTCTTTTTAAGATGATCGCATGCCGTAGATATACAGCAGATAAGATTGGCCGATTATAGAAAAATAAATCAATCGAAAAATTTTCAGTCAACCAAATAAATATTCAGGAAAAAAACAGTTTAGTAAATACAAAGTAAATATTTTCTGGAAGTCTCAAGCGACATCTCACTACTAAAATGATATGAAACAATTTCTTTTTTGATTGAACATCTATTAGGAAACAATATTGAGATATGCACATAATAATATGCTTATTTACGTTATCGAGAATATACGAACTTAATTTATATATTAAATACTTCACATCTTGCTGAAGATAGTTCATTGGTGAATTCTATTGATTTTTCTAATCATACTCACAGTCTAAATTACATAGTTTTTGACGTTTTACTTGCTGAAAATGTATTTCACTGTGAGATTGGTAAATATTTAATCAACCGACATTTAAGCTTGGCAATGGCATCTATCGAGAATTGTTTAGCCAGATGTTGATACATAACATATATAAATTCCTATAATATCCGTGTTGCGACAGTTTGTGCAATGACACACCACGTGCGGAGTGTGTAGAATCATAAAGAAAAATAGCAAAATCTGAAGTCTACTACCTATTTTTTGTTTTTCTTTTGCTAAAATAATAAGTAACCGCATTAGTCATCAGGAATAAAATGCTCGCATTTATAAATGATGAATATATAGTCAGACTACAGTAGACATTTTAGTCTTCTATTCGACTTGAAAACAAGATAAAAACTTGCTAAATTTTTAGATACAAAAAATGAGTGTATCTGCCACATTTTTATCGCCATTCAATGGTAAAACAATTGTACTCGAGCTCGGTCGTGAAATAGGATTCAAGGCTAAGCAAGAGTTGATCAACTATTTACGAGAACAGCAAGCACGTATTTCATACATACTTACTGCTAGTGTATGTTGCTCTTCTATACTATATATATATGCTGTTTTACTAGAACTTATTCTAGACTGACTACATATTTGTTACGAATAATTTCGATAGCTACAAAGTCCGTCGTGCAAAACAACTTGGCTTACCATTGGTCAATGTTGAATATGTATATGAATGTCGACGTTTACAGTCGGGTCAAACGCCAATTGACATTAGCAAATTTATTGTCAAATCAGTTGAAGATCAGGAGAATTTTACAAAAACAGGCACTATTCCCATTGCAGGTATCATATCGTTGTTCTTGTGTTTTGATTGATGTCTTACATAGCTACTTGTTAGGATCCCAGGCAACTAGCATTAAAGCTAATCGTTTTGATTTGAATAAAGTAAAACTATGGAATGCAGACGATGCTGATTTGCCTCGTTTTGATGAATTGACACATTGCGAAATAGCCAAATGGGCCATTTTTAAAGTAGGATTAATATTCTTTCATCACTTTAGTTCGCTTCTATTGTAATTGTTTTTCATAGGAAACTAATGACAATTCAGATGTATTTTTTGTTCTTGAACTTCAAGTTATTCCTGAACAATATTTTGATCGAGCAATGACAGATTATCGACTACGGTTTCGATACGAAAAGCAGACTATTGTTAGTCAAGGACAAAAGCAAGATAATAAAGTATTGATACAATATGCATTCGGTGATGAACCCAACGAACAACAACAATTATTTGCATCATACTATTATCGAATAGCTAAAATGCCACGTGTAACACGAATTCGTGAAATGTTACCAGATAAGTTAGGATCAAAACTATTACTACGCGTAAGTCAATGATATTAATTAAGAAGTTTTATTTTCAATACTAAATAAAATATCTTTAGTCTTTATTTGCTAATCGCATTGATACACAAATACTCGATGATAACGTATGCCAATTGATTGAATCGGTTTGGTTAGAATCGATCGGTGATTTGAATAAAATATTGAGCATATTACCTGAATCGATTACTCTCAAAACTGTACGCATATATTCATTTTCTTTTATGTATTCCAATTAAGTTTTATTTCAAACTACCGAACAGATCATTGAAGCTGAGGCTGCACTACTTGAACTCAAATCAACGAATGATCCTGCTGCTGCGCTTCGTTTCTATACACTTATTCCGCATCGTGCGGAGTATAAGGTTGATCTCGTAAAAAATCGTCGAGCGTTAACTGAAAAAATTGACTTATGTCAGGTATGTCGATTTATTTTAATAATTTCATTGGACGTTTTGCTCGTTTAGTTACTCCGAGATATGCTCACAGTCAATGAACTAACCAATTGGAATATTAAAGCTCCAATCGAAGCAAAATATCGAGCATTGAACTGTCATATTGAAATGGTCGATAGTTCAACACCTGAATTTATGAATGTTGCCGAACATATTCAATCGTCAACAGATAAGTGAGTTGAATTGAATTTTGATTTCACATGTATCGGCTTCTCGGTTCGTTAGTGGTGAAAAAATCGTTATTCATCAAATATTCAGCGTAGCCAAGCAAACAGATGCACTCAACTTTCGAACGTCATTATCTAATCAACAGCAACTATTTCATGGATCAAAATATGCCAATTTTCTTGGAATTCTTTCACGGTAAACTATTCATCTTTCTCTCGAGACAATATTTATTGTGTGAATGTATACATTCAGTGGTTTGGCCATGCCAAAAATGGTAGTAGAAGAATTAGGTGTTGTCCGTACTGATATTGGTTGTCTTGGTTATGGAGTTTACTTTTCTGACTCTGTTTCTACGTCGCTAAAATATACGACAGCTAGCACAACGCGACCAGGTCGACGACTATTATGTGTTTGTCAAGTCGCCCTAGGTGAATCAGCGAATTATTATTCATTTTCACCGACAATCACCAAACCTCCTGATGGTTTTCATAGCACGCATGGTGTCAAACGAACGGAAGAAAATCGTTCCATGTTTAGCGTAAGTAGCTTGCTTGTATTGTTTCTGATAATATTACACTCGCGAATGCTTGTGGAAAGCATTTTTATCGTGTGTATCATTGCCAGAGTTTCAACACATATTCGATAAAAATATGAAGAGAATAGTTGTGAACAGGTAGCCATGAATGGCGTGGCAATACAATAAGAAAAACGAGAGATCAATATTTGACATTGTGTTCTATATCTTTGTATTCATTGTTTTCAATAAAACTAGATACGAAATTGTTGGAGCAGCGTCACTTATACCGACATGCTAAATGTTGCAATAATAAATATGATTTCTATTGGAATAGGACAATGAATATGCAATTTATCAACTCGATCAACAACGTTTACTCTACATTGTGGAAGTTTCATGGATACCAAATGATAGTATCAATATTGCACTAGAACGTTTACCCGTTGTCCATCATGAGCAACATGCATTAAAACTCAGTGAACATGGTAATAATGATTCTTTATCTTCCAATAAAATTCAGCTAGGTTATCTGCTACGTTCTAGTCGAAGTTCCCTTGACAATTGATGATGAAATTATTGAAGTAGCCGAACAAGACTATGGTTTAGTATGTCCATCATCGGGAAAACTTGTACCACTGAAATCATTTCATATTCGAGCTCAAATCGTTGATGCTACAGTTGAAGTAATTATAGCTGTTGTTTTGATCGACTAATACATCCTGTTTTGTTTTCATCGATAAGGTTGTTCTCTATCAAGTCTATCATAATACGAGTTCGACACCTATCGAAGCTAAATATGTGTTTCCACTTGATGAAAATTCAACTGTATGTGGTTTTGAAGCACATATCAATAATAAAATTATTAAAGGTGTAGTCAAAGAGAAAGAACAAGCCAAACAAGAATACCGAGAAGCAATCGAAAAAGGCCACGGTGCCTATTTGATGCATCAGGAGCAGGCTCAAGTATTCAGCGTAGCTGTTGGTAACTTACCAGCCAACAATGAAGTCATTATCAAAATAACCTATGTTGCCGAATTAGAAATCGAAAATGGCGATATTATCTTTCGACTTCCAGCAAAAATGGCTTCATGGCAATCGAAACAAGCCATTGAAGCAAAAGATCAATCGACTGTACGATCTATTGATATTGTCGACGAAAAAGTCGAATTCAGTTTCAAAACATCTATTCTTATGCCCTATGAAATAACCAAATTGTTTTCGCCGACACATCGTCTTCGTCGAAAGCTGACCGACTGTATGGCCATGGTCGAACTTGTCGATAATGTTTTACTCGATCGAGATTTTGTTCTTTCGGTAACACTTAAAAGTGCTAATTTGCCTCGAATATCAAATGAAACATGGGCATTAGATGATAACAATGGAACAACAACATCGAAGAATCGCGATTCTGAAGCATGTTTACTTACTTTCTATCCAAGATTCGAAACATTATCGATGTCGAACGAAACAGTTGAAATCGTTTTCATTGTCGATGTATCGAACTCAATGGATGGTAGCCATGTTCAACAAGCTAAACAGCTAGCTCATTTATTTCTTACTAATTTGAAAGTTGATAATAAAAATACATATTTCAATGTAGTTACTTTTGGGTCAGGTAATACGATGATAGTCTACCATATTATTTTACCTACTATTGAAAATTGAACTATTTAGATAATGATGAATGTTTTCCAATTTCAACACCAACCACAAAAGAGAACCTAGACAAAGCCAAACATTTTGTTCTGGTTGGTATTTTTTGTGTTTTAGATGACTTTTATTTTCTAATGAAATTCTTATATTCTAGCATTCACTTATTCATCGTGGTAATACAGATTTATTAGCTGTTCTTCATCGTTACTCATTACTACCATCTTTATCGTCGTCGAAATCGGGTCGCCAATTTATTCTTTTATCTGATGGACATATCCATGATGTTAATTCGATTATTGCTCTACTTGAACATCGACCAACTATGCGTTGTGATCGTTTATTTGCATGTTCAATTGGGAATGTTGCTAACAAGCATGGCTTGAAACAGTTAACTCGTGGGATACGAGGAGGTGGTCTAGTAACAATATTCGATTCGAACTATCGATCGAAGTGGAAAACAAAAGTATTGGAGATCCTCGAACATACCCGACAACCATGTGTTACAAGTATATCGATTGATTGGCATGGTGGTTTGGACGAAGGACAAAAATTCAATATGCAAGCGCCAAAAATGATCCGATCTTTGTTCGATGGAATGCGACTCAGCGTCTATCGATTTATACACAATTGTCACAAAGCAACATTAACGGCGACTATCGATGGGCAAGAATTTGTTACTACTGTATTCAGTAGTCCAATGACAACAACTAGAGGACGTATTCTACATTGTCTAACTGCACGAGCGATAATTGACGATTATGAAAACGGAGTATTACATAAAGACGAAAGCGAAAACGAATTGATTAAAATTCAATGTAAACAAGATCTCATAGATTTGAGTATTAATTATTCTGTTGTCAGTCCATACACCAGTTTTGTTGCCATTGAAGAACGTGATGCCAAAACAGATCAGTCAACTCTTCAACCAGGTTTGTAGAAAACTCATATTCTATGATAACTAGATTTTTTTGTTCAATGTTAGGCGTTCGTCTCATCGATGTTATGCTTGATCGAGATGTCGATATATTACCATACATAGAATGGGATGGTGATAAATCAAGTTTGGCTTTGATTAAACAGAAACTAATCGATGGTCGTGTTTCACTCGAAAGTGCATCGATTCTTAGCAAAAAAGAGTCGGTTGTTGATATTGAAAAACTTTGTGAGAAAATCTCCTATCGAGCAGGTGGTGATGCTAAATTCGACATGATGATGTCTATTATACGTACATATCGTCATTCATTAAATGAACATGATAAAGCAAATGAACTTGAAGATAAAATGCGAAACGGTATGTTGATTAATTTAGAATAGATATTGAAAATTTTGTTATTTCAAAAAATTATAAAATAGATATAAAGAATGAGATGCTCAGCGCGACAACTGAAGAACGACAAGCATTAGAACAACGATGTGCAGCAAACAATTTAAGGATCACAATGAACGTAGAGTATGTAACAAAACAGAAAGATTGTATTCGAAAACAAAATTTGTCTTTCTTTCTCTAGAATTGAAGAACTCCCCGAAGGTGATGGTAAGAAAAGTTTTTAATTTACAATCGAGAGAAAAAGACAGAAGAGTTTGATTTTTATAGTCTAAGTACGTCATATAGCATCTAAGTGATTCTATTTTCATATATAGTACGTATGCTCTTTACGGTACCAACTCTGCTCTAAAACTATTACCGAAAAAACTGAGTGATAACAATAAATCTAAGAACTCGATCGTATTCGTGAAGGAAAAAAATAACAATAAAATAATGCTTAGACATTCTGAATGTCATAGATAATTTTAAAAACGATTCATTACACTAGTTAGTTGTCGCTCACTCGATCAATCGGTTGTTCTTTGACAATGCTGTTAAATGGATAGAAAGAGTTTAGAGTAGTATAACAATCTGGAAAACATGCGAGAGATAGTAATACTATATTAATATTCAATTTTGCTCTAATCAGAATGTACGACCTCTAGATGAACAATGGATATTAGTAAAGTTTATGTTTGATATTGAGATTAAATGAAATCGAAATGGTAAACATTCATAGTAATGAAGATCGTTACTCATTTTGTATGAATTTTGTTAAATGTCGCAATGTAGAGTGTGAAAAAAAACAATTTTTTTCTTCCAAGTAATATTTTTTATCTTGTTTTACTAGATCTTAATCTATTGGAACATACTCAATCACTAGCTGGATTAAAACAGCTGGCAAAAAACATGTCCGATTCGGTAATTTAAAAAAATCATTTCTGATTTTCGGACTCCTACAAAAATGAATATTTCTTGTTCAGATAGCCGAACAAAGCCAATGCATAGATCGTATCGAACTTTCATCATCACAAAAGGAGAAAAAGCTACGTCGTGATATAGGTAATTAATACATTATACACATATTAGACTTTTATGTTGAAAGATAGTGTGTTGAAGGGTGAGAGTGACATGAAAATCATTTTCTACATCCTTATTGATTTCAGCTGAAACTTAAGTAGATTTAATAAATATGTCGGTAGGAAACATCTCAGTTCTTGTTTTGATTGATTCAAATAATAAAATAATAAAAATTGTAACAGGACACTTACAAATAGACCTTCTCATTTTTACCCAAATCCAAAGTAAAACGAGAATTTTTTAAACGAAAGATTGAGCAACAAATTATTCGATGAACAGCAAGCTGAGTTATAACTATCCAGCAATTGTATTTCTCATCGAAATAGTCTGCCTTTACTTTTAGGAATGCTTATATCTTGCAGACAAGGATTGTCAACTGCGTCAACATCAGAAGAATCAGAGGATGCAGATGATGAAATGTGCTGGGACTTATTTGATGATGGCGGGGCTTCTTCATCAGGCAAGTGGTGCATTTTTCGTGAAAGATTTTCTATAGCAGTGTGAGCGAATGAATTTGAATCCTGTCAAACGTTAATATGAGATTAAAATTCGTAAGATGAAACATGATGGATCTTCTCTTCTACCATATTAGAAGTTCCATCGTGTTTCACAATTTCACCGTACCCATATTATGATAGCAACTTTATTTATTTTTCTTGACCCAAGCAGCTTTCGACAAATGTATACATCAATACCTGTGGAGAGCAGATCTTCGTGTAGATTTCACCTTTTTCATTTTGACGTAGAAAATTCTGCCGAATCTTCACATAAAAGACAAATAAGGAAAATGAATTTTTCTAGCATTATTTATATAAAAAAAAAAACAGGAACTACTACATTTTCAACTATTAGTATTCTTCACGCTGTTTTTTTTTGTATTGGGTCACTATCAAACAGTTTCCATGTTAAAATTTTGAACCAAATCGTCCAGTTCTATAAAGCTATGTTTGCTCGTGAAATAAAAACAGTTCAACAACCATAAAGAAAATAAACTGTTTTTACAGTCCTTGCTTTTTTTAAAAATCACATCAGTTATTTGTAGCTACTTTTGTTTGAAACTTTCTGTATTCAATTTTAGCAGAGAAGCATGAGTTGGTACCAAATTCTGTCGCATTATCACCAAAATCGGCTGAATTAGATGATGAAGACGAGGGGGATCTGCACTGCCGCCTGCTCTGCAACGTCTCTTTTCCTGTATCTGGTGAGTTATGCAAATTTTGAGAAATATCGTGTCAAAATAGGGTTGACGTATATACGGTAGAACTTTAAACACGCGTGAAACCCACGGTTTTTGTCAGATTTACTACAGATCGTATATCAATTGATATATATATATTTTAATTCATTGTCAAATATTAAAAATCGATGCTTGAATCGAAATATATTTATTTCATTCAGAAATTGATGAGTACAATACTAAATATTTCCTTCAGACAGAAGAGACTTTTGAATGTCGCAGGAGAGAGTAAAATATTCTGATACTGAGTTTTACAAAACGTTATACATGATTTATTTCTATTGTTCGTTAAAATTTTCTGTTTTTAATTTTAGCATCCAAACCTATGGTTTCAAAAACGAGCTCATCGAAACGTCGGTTAATGCCAATTGAGTCAGACGATGAAGGCGATGATATGGGATTCGGTTTGTTCGACGATGGCACATCCTATTCTAGATGTGGTAAGTTATTCAACATCTGTGCAACATGATCTAACAGCAGGCTTAGAACATGTAGAGTAGAAATTTAGACACATTTGTATTCCATGAACTTTATCAGCTATATTGTGCATTGTATATGAATAACTCTAAGTTATAATATATTAATTACATCCTTGTTGCATTTCTGGAGTACTAAAAAAAACCAAAATAGAATGAATAAAATACTGCTTGAGTATAAGAATGATGTCCAAAAACAAGTCAATTTACAGTGTAATAACTACGCAACTTGAATACCAATTAAAGAACCAAAATATACTACTGATTTTATCTAGGAAAATATAACTATGTAGTACTAAATATTTTCTTTTATGTTTCATTTAGAAATACAAGGCTTTGAATATAATAGTAGAGAAAAATAATTTTTTTGATAATGTTTGCTTTTCAAAAAGCACTTAGATTATGTACTTCTACTCGCGGTTGAATGTATTGTATTTTTTTTAGTGAATATTCCTTCAGTTGAAGCGCCATCAGGATCGCCACAGTTACAGTCGAAAGAATCAGACGTTGATCCATACTCCGATATCGATTTCAGCTGTTTAGATACTATGGATGAGTCTTCCTATATCGATTTTAGTAAGTAATACAATTTTTATAATCATCAAAGGACACCATAATAATACTTTCGTGAAATAGCGTTTGCTTCCATTCTTTTTTAATGAGGTCACTTAGCACAAACGATGAGAAGTAAAAATTTTGATGATATTATCATTAATTTAATATGTTTGTCACTGTTATTTTAGGGACTACTAGACTTTTTTTTTCGGAGTCAATAAAGTCGCTCAAACCAACTGATTTATCTATTTGTAGTGAATTACAAATGTTAAATGTACCATAAAGAATTATAGTTCGGTAGACTTAGTCCACATCCTCAACTAGGCACTAGTCATCAAAACATTCAAAAAGTGAATATATTTATCTGATTGACAAAAATGAAAAGGAAATCACAATAGACAGATATATGGCATAACCGTTTTCCTATCGATAGCTTTGGAACATTAGTAGCCATTCAGATAATTATTAGATAGTCTTTGAAAGTAAAGTTCCCTTTAATGAGTAAATTACAAAATCTCTATACGCATTGATTCCCAGAAGAATACATAAGTACTCGTCAACTTTTTGATTATTGCAAGAATATGCCAGTTTATTCATTCAATGGCGATATATATATATATATATATATATATATGGATTATTATTATATCGAACCCAGCACTATACTATTTGTCTCAATCTGTACTTGGCAGTGCAAAGCAACTATATTTCACAAAGAAAGACGAAGCTTGCGTCATTGAATACTACCACTTTTCTATCAGTAATGAATAGACTATTTCATATTTCGATAAGTAGCAATATCATGAAGTTCATGTTTGATTGTATTTTTAGCAAAGAACCTAGAAATGATAAAATCATCGAAGAAATCCAGTGATTTGAAACTAGAGTCATCAGTGAAACATAAAAAGGGTGATTCAATGAGTGGCAAGGCGACTATAGGCGCTGCCGGTAGCGGCGGTGGTAGTGGCGGCGGCGATTTTGGATCTGTTCGATTCATGGACACGCGGATGTCTTCTCCAACGAGTCATCTTATGCCTACCACAAAGATCAATGAAAGTAATGTACAGATACCTATTTATGAAATCTATTTTATTTTATTTTAATTACTTTCGAAATCAGGATCCCAGCCAAAGTTAAAGGAAATGCCTAAAAAAGAAGCGAAACAAGAGAAGAAAATACGAAGTATGAGTGAAATTGTTCTTAGTTTCAAGCTTATTTCTTTATACTCTTTACAATGTCAGTTCCTGCGCCACCCATAATACCTCCACGACTACGTGAAGTTACTGCTTGCGGTATGATGGAAAAAGGAAGAAAGGAAAAATATCGAAAGGGAAAAATGTCGAAAATAAAAATATCGAAAACAAAATTAATACAAATGTAGATGGATAAAAATGCTGAAAACGAGAGTATTTTGAAGTACAAGGCCCCCTCAAACTCAATTCAATCTTGCATGGTCATTTTCACCTCATATTTTTGTTTTCGACATTTTTATTTTCGATATTTTTCCCTTTCGACATTTTTCCTTTCTTCCTTTTTCCATCCATTCCTGCTTGCATGCCACTGTCTAGTTTCTCTCTAGCTTCAAAATCATTGGAACGATGTCAAAGCTCATCAAAATCTACTGCTTCAGCAGCGCATTATTTTGGCGGTAGCCGTAAAACAACTACAGGTGATATTTTAAGTTAGGCCTATAACATTGTGTCTTCATTTCTAACGGGAAGTAGATGCCTTAGATGTATGCAGATCTTTTGTTAAACACTACGAAAGAGTTTTTGCTTTATATATAGTTTGCATTAGCTTAGGGAAGCAAAATAATATATATATATGAGTTTCAAATGGTAGACATGAAGGAGCTACGCTACCAAATCGTTCTTAATTTATCCGAATACATTTTACTAGAACCCATTATTTCTATGCGAGATATAAAAGCATTCACCTTGATTCTTATTAATAGTTCCGCTACGTNGCAAACTATCCACCGCCAATGCCAATGTCAATGTCACCACTACCTCCACCACCACCACTACCTCCACCACCACCACCGCCACCAATGTCAATATCAATGAGAATGCCACCACCACCACTACAAATACCAATGTCAATGATAATGTCACCACCAGCGGCACCACCAATGCCAATGTCAATGTCAATGTCACCACCGCAGCGGCAGCAGCAACAACAACAACAACAATTAACCATAGGGAGATCTTCATCGAGAGATAGAGGTGGAATGTCAAACTTTTTCTCTTTTCGGAAATCCTCAATGGATACATCAAAGCCCTATTCTGATATGGCAGTCCCTGGTACTAGTGAACAACCTCAGAGTATGTTTATGTATGCTAGTGCATCAAATCTAATGAACGAAGCAGAAGATCAAATAATAAACAACACCAATAATAACAACGCAACTTTTCCGAATATGGCACCACAAATGAATTATCAATCAGCAGTTGGTGAGTCGCAAATAGAATAATACTAATTTCTGTACTCGGCATTGCCATTTTCTATCATCGATAGACTTACAATATCTAGAGGTGGGAAAAGCCGCTACTTCTACTACTTCTCTTTCGCAATCAGTATCATTTCCTCAATTCATGTTACTCCTGAAGTTTCACTGTAGCCATAATATATTTGAATCGGTTGCGTCCATTAGAATTCTATGGTACATTTCGCAGTATACAGTTAGCTTTCCTTACGATTGTTCTTATTGATTGTCTTATTGAAATACAAAGCATAGCTCGGAATACAAAATGTAAATAATGTTGTATTTCATAAATTCAAGCTATGCGTATAATGAATATGCGGTGGATAGTTTGCAGTAATTTACTATTAGACCTGTTGTTTCTAAATAGATGTTCAATACCGTTGTAAATATTGTAGTTTCCTAAGACAAATTCAAAAAATTATAGTAAAAGAAAATTCTATATCTATTTTTCATAATAGTAGACTGTAGTTTGTGTAATTTACTTCGATCAATAACAAAGCCAGGTAGATAATATTTTCTAAAGAAACATTGTCTCCAAGTGATATACAATCATCTTAGCTTTATCTTCATTCAGTAGGGATATGATAGTAATATGATGACGCAAATCTAAAAGATCATCATACTTCATTACTTTATCTATGATAGTAATATAATTTATCATAGTTCAGCATATTATTCATGTGGATCGATTGATAGTTGCATAAATTTATATATTCTAGGTATCTCACCAATATCGTCATCTGGCCTAGATTATTTTAAAACACCTTTTTCTTCTTCGTTTTCATCATCGTCATCACAGCAACCATCCGTAGCACCTCGTGCTGGTGGTAGTAGTGGGGGTAGCTGCTACATGCAGACAGCTCAGGTACCACAACCGAAAGTCCGCACGTGTACCTTATCTGATACCTCATGCAAAAGAATGAATAAGCCAATGCACCACTTGTTCAAATTGGCGGAAGTACGTAAATGAGTATGCAATATTTTTGCAACATTTTCACTCGCTTCTAGAGGCGCTTCGATGATAGCGATATGCAAAACATCGAATTAGAAAGTACAGTCTCACATTCGCTGTTATGTATAAAGAAAGCAAAACGAAAAATGTAAGTACTGTACGATTTCACAGATATGTGCAACGGTTAAATGTTAACCGTTATTCGTTATTCGTGAAATTATTTTAAATGATAATAAAAATAAAAACTGATCTCTCATAGGACACCCAAAGATAATGTGCCATCACAGGGATCCATCCACAACCTATTACTCCTCGATGTATGCGCACTGGGCTTGGGTGTAGAAGATACTCACGGTCACATGCACACACTTATTCGTCGTAATACAACGATTCCAACGCGAACTCAATTTTATTCAATATTCACCAATGCTTATGCCTATCAAACGACAGCTTCTATTCGCATATTTGAAGGCGAACATAATCTGACGAAATACAATGTATGTCGTGAGCTAAATGGATAAACTTCATTCTATAGTCTTTTTTTTCTATTTTAGCTACTATTGGGAGAATTGTGTCTTAGCGGTCTAACACGTAACTTTGCTGCTCAGACGCTCGAAATAGCTATTCGAATGGAGATCGATGCGAATGGTATAATTCGTGTTGACGCCGAGGAAGCACGTTCAGGTGCCAAAGCATCCATTACTATCAACCCTGGTGATCGCGCAAGTACGATATTTACTCGATTTGGTTACATTTGACCTTTAAATATATTTTAAACTTTTCTAGGATCATCAGTAGATGACATTGAACGACATATTACTTATGTCCAAAGTGATACAGACTTCCAAGCTAAATCTGGTCAGTGTTTCAAGAACAAATGATATTTAATTCTTTCTATTTTCTAGTTTATGATCGCAAGCCTGAGGATCCATTGTACACGGTGCGTAGTATATCATTTTGTTGTAATTCAATTGTTCTGTTGTTGTTAATTTTGTTAGCTTGACGGCCAAACCGAAACTGTAATACATAATTTTTCGGGTGAACTTGCTACTACGTTAGGTTCGTCAATGTCTTGTTAGTATTCTCCAAAGAAACTGATAATTCGTGAATTTAGGTAAAACAATTGATGACACGCTTCTTGGTAAGCTCAAAGATGTTCAATCTACAAAGACTATGATTGAAGAAGTTATGCAACTTCAATTCGAGGTAGTATCGATTATCATTTACGGCATTTATTTATTGTTTTCTGTTGAATTCAAATATAGGATGGTTCCTTTATATTGAATAAAGAGTTAGCTGATGTATTTCATATAGATTTTGAAATTTTTAATGGCCTTGAACATTATTTGCGCGAACAAGGTTTTAATTCACTCGGTAATATTCGATGATTTTCATACTGATGTATAGAAAAACGAATTTTATTTTATTAGCTTTGAATGTACGCAACGAACTTCTTCGTTTGATTGGTACGGGTGTCATTCTTCTATGGCTCGTTCTTAAAACACAATCATTACAACAGAATATGTTTGAAATGTTAACTAGTATTGAACAAATCGAAGTGAGTCAATTTCGTTTTTTGATATCGTCATTCTTCATTCAAATTTCTCTTCTATCATTAAGATCAATCTTTACAACTATTTACCGGCTAGCATGCATGGAAAAATAAAACAGGCGATCGAATTCTATCAGCAAACGGGCCAACGTAATGGTATTTATTGCAGACAATTAGAATTGAAAGATTCATCATGGCATCCGTTTATTCAACATTTACTCGTCGGTATTGATCGTACCAATCCCTGAGAGAACTGATTCTGAACGACTTCAATTATTTCCGAATGACTTTCATCTAAAACTTATTTTATTTTAATCATGAAATGCTTGAATATTTTGTATTCTTCGATAAAAAGAATCGAATTCTAAATGGTGGTTAATGAAACAAACACGCACTCACGCTTACTAATTATGACGAACTTGTTTTTAAAGAAAAATTGAACCTAGGAGTGTGGATATACCTACGTATAGCTCAGTTTGTTTCCAGAAATGTACACGCGCTATGTTTAATGTGTGACAGCTACATGTTTGTATAGTCGATAGGATGATGATTTTTTACAGTGTAGTAACCGGTAGAGTAAGTTACCCTAATAACAACACTAACAAAATTCAAGCAAATTGATCTTTTTCAAGAAAAAAAACGTTTTTTTCACATTTCCTATAAGAGATACAGGAGAGATGTCTGTAGCAGTTTTGTAGAATGTGTCGAACTCTCTTATTGACCAAAGGTTCATGAAAACTCGATGTTAGTTTGGGTGGAATAAATTTTCTCAAACAAGAAGGCCTAAAATCGAAAAAGAAATTTTGTCCCTAATAACAACACAACTGGCTTTTTACTTTTATCTTGATGTCAAGCTATTTTTTGACCCTAATAACAACACTCAACTAGTTGAGTTTGTTGGCACTAGGACAATTCGTCTCGAGACAATTCGTCGCGGACAATTTGTCACGGACAATTCGTCGCATGGACAGTTCGTCGCATATATAGTAAACATAATTTAATCTAGAGAGAGAGCAAAGAGAGAAAAGAATAACTGTGATAAAATATAGCATTTTATTTTTATTGGAAGATAAATGAAAATGTTTTTAATGATTTTTTTTAATTTCCCATCAAGCTATTAGCTTTTCCACGAGATTGATAATATCCTTCAAAATATAGTGGGTTTACTCATTAAGTTCAACGCATTCGACTTGATTTAATTATGTCGAGCGATATTTCATATTCTCTTTCATTAATTAACATTGCGACGAATTGTCCAATCACCGAGTTTGTTATCATTCCTATACAACGATTATAAATAGATATGCTATTTGTGAATAAATTCTCTGATATTATTTTCGTAATGATGCGCCGTTATTATACTCAAAAACTAGCTAAGTGTTGTTATTAGGGTCAGGGTTGCCACCTGATGAAGTCTAAAAAGCGGAAAACTGATCTTAAAAAGCTGAAGCTTATATTGTTGCAGATTTGTAATGCTTCTGAGAATATTAGGCATTGTTTCATGTTTATTGGATTTCTTTTTATTTCATCAAAGTTTCAAACATAAAAGAATCACGACTCACGGTATTTGTAAACAATAAGAATTGACTCAATAATATCAAATATTATTCCGTACGTATGTTTGATATGCAACAGGTTTTATTCGAAAAAGCGGAAGAGATGCAACCCTGGTAATGATCCACGATGAGTTGATGAAAGTGAATCTTTCAAAGTTCCACATATTCTAAAATCACATAATTTAAATATTGATTGGCGTGGCGTCCAACTAAAATATTTTGTGTTTTTATATCTCGATGAATTAAATTTTTTTTAATTAAAGATAATCAAGTGCTAAAATAATCTAAACGAATTCGTTGTCAATAAAATAAAAACAGAACAAACATGTTTTGCTAATCTTTGTATAAATAAATCTAACACCATATTAGTTGGTTTAAAACATGANATAAGTAACATGATTGAACATACAAAACATAATTTTCAAATAAGTTTTTTTCTAAACTATTTCTCGACTATTGATTATTCGAGAGAATGCTGATCTCGATCAATATATGGAAATATTTCACATGACGTATTTGATTTTATAGATGCTAGGAATATCATTGAGAAATGTTGTTTTTATGAAAACGACAAAGTATGTTACCTTGCTTGTTTTCCTAACTTATATGAATCGTGATGAATTTCTGTATTTTATGTTTGTTCTCTTATTTTTCTTTATTTGATAACTTTGTTTTACTACATAATAAATGAAATATTTGTTTCTGCACTATATTTAAGAAAAACATATCTAAGATCCGCTCACTTTTAATACGTTTTATTTCTGTAAGCAGCATATATCGTTCTATCAATAATTTAACAAACTACCATGAAAGTATCACTTTCTCACAAAAAGAAAACATGAAAATCTTTTTAGTTACGTTAAACTTGGAGCAGGTGAAATCATCATTGAAAACTTGAATTCATGGCGTAGACTTCTTTTTTTTATTGTTCCTTCGAATAATCCAATACTCTTAATTACCGAGAGAAATGACTTAGACACTTCGCTCTATGATACAAAATTAGTCTGAATATCATCAGAAAAAAGTATGGTAAACATATACCAAGACTTGAAGGAAATTAACACTATCATTTGCGAATTTTTCTACAGGTTTTTATATTTATCTTCTTCAATGACCACAACGATTATCGCGACTCTTCCAATCATGAAAAATTGCAGTCTCTAATGCCGCGGTAAACTTGCACATAAGCGCGTTCTTAATAACCGTATATCTTGTAAAAAGTAACGCTGCGGTTTCATTCAATTGAAGCGAGCTTTTTTAAAATTGCGGCGTTAAGTAATCTCTGAGACCGCAGCTTTTCGCTAATGAACTGCGGTTTATTTTAGTTGCTGTGGATCACACCGCGATTAACCGCGAGTAGTACCGCGGTCCGCTAAATGAAAACCGAAGCGGAAGTGAGAAAACCGAGGTTAAGCGCGTTTTTGAAGAATTTGTTTTTCCGTGGGTGTGAACTGTCACAACTCTAATCCTGCTCAAAGAGAGCCTCTCGCACCAGACTTTGTACGTATGTGACATCTTATGAAGAATAAGTTTGTTGTAAATATATTTCATATTGTAGTAGATTTCTAAAATTCAGTGATTACAGAAAATTTTATGGTAAAAATTGTAAATTTTAATAGATATTTTGTTTGTTTTCTCTCATCAAGATGCTAATGCATTACGTTTTGAAGGATGGATTTCTATTTTTTCTATTTCGTTTAAAAGTTTGTCCAACACTGAACGCTTATCTATTCGATTGTTTATTTATTTATTTATTCTTTTCCATTTTATTCTAGTATGTAGACCAGATATGTCTATCTCAAATCATGTATTTTACTCTTACATCTTATTATTTTTTATTAAATTTCATATTATAGATGATACCACAAACTTCAATTAAAAGTCTTGTACAATAGATATCAAAAATAATTTATATATATAACGTACTTGTTGTATATTTGTTCATCCTCCTGTTTATACGTATTAAAAATATTGCATTATTTACCATAATCTAAAGATACAAAACAAATTATTGATACAGCAAATAAAACTCCCCTTTTTGCATTATCCTAAATTCTTAATTTTTTTCTTAATTTAGATCATTTAACAAAACTAAAGTTTTTTCAATTCAGCCCAGGGTCAAACATTCCGGCCGTCGGATCTCGTAGGATACTGCAGGAAATATGCGGGAAATTGCTGAAACATGGAAGCTGTATTCTGGTGAAAAATACGACCGAACCCAGGTCGAACATACACGGTCGTATACGACGGTAAATCGCCGTATTTGGCCGTATTACATGGCTCCGTATTACGATCGTAAATCTCCGTGCCGTATACGGCGAAATACGGCGCTTTACGGTCGTTTTTGATCGTATTTCACCGTATTACGACACGGAGATTTATGATCGTAATACGGAGCCATGTAATACGGCCAAATACGGCGATTTACCGTCGTATACGGCCCGTATTTCACCGTATACGGACGTCGTAAAGCTCGTCCTGGGAACTTTTCCGGCGAACTCCTGGCAAGTTCCGGTGCTTTCCGGCAGGAATTAATCAGAAATCACCGAAAAAATGCGAAAATTTTCCAACCGGAATACTGCTTCCACAAAATTAACGGAACTACACGGAACCTACCGTTTCCAGACCGGACTGTTCGACCTGGGAGAGAAAACACTTGGTATTTAATTAGGTGCTATATTAGATTACGGTTTTTAATCTATTTATCTTTAGTATTTCTTCTTGATGGACCATACCAATGAATATATTGATGAACGTCGTAACCCATGTTGCGAATACCGGATCAATTTTTGCGGTAAACCGCGGTATTTATCCGTTCTGCGGTAATGAGAGCCGGTAACCGGACCGGCAAAACCGCGGTTAACCGCCGATTTTCATGCGGTTTTTATTACATGAGAACGTGTTCATACAACAGAGAGCTGAGGTATTTCAAGTATTCAATATTTTCTTCAATCCATATTAATTTTCATCCTTTTTAGCTATCCAAAGAGTTGTCGGCGCAACCCGATAGCAATCATTTAGCTCGTAGTATTCTCACGATTTCCGTAAGAAGCATTTCTTCCATTTCGAATAAAAATATCTTTTCTTATTATTCTCGTTATAGCAATAATCGTTGAATGAATTAAATAATGGTAAAGAAGCACCAACAGTAAGTATCACGCCTGATCTTTTATGAGTCTAGTGTTTTTTTTATTTAGACCAATGTCGATATTAATGCATCATCATTCGCTGTAGGTGAGTAATTCACTTTTTTCAGTCGAACCATACAGGTTATGAGTCGTAGCATGGATGTCTACTGTTACCTTTTATTACTAGTTATCTCTTTTTTAATAGATGGGGTGATGCATTGGTTAATGCAAGCTTTGACTTGTCGGCATGATGGAGAAGCAAAAAATAAAACGATTCGCTTCTAAAGAAAATGTTTTTTGAATTAAATGCACAGTTGTATCGCAATTTTTTCCCTTGAAACTTTTTTATATACGAGCTTGGTCTAGGCACCTTTTCAGAAAGGTTTCCAAATAGTACAAAGTTGGGCGTGACGGTGGCTGTGGGTTTAGACACCTGAGTATTCGTATAACTCACACCCACATCCTTCTTGTAGAAATTGCAATTGTATGTACGGCAAGTACTCTCAACAGATATAATGCATTTTTTTATTATAAGAAGATAAGTCTAATTCAGTAATGCCGTTAGATTTGATCGATGATTTTAATATTTCTTTCATTAAGAGTATACGCCTCTTTTCGCGACATATAATTTCATTATTATAATACTACATTTATTTCAATTTGTTGAGAGAAAAAAAGTATTCTAGCTAATATTACAGAATAAAATTGAATACTACGTAGATCAAATAAAACATATTTTTTCAATTTAGTAAAGAAGATAAATTAGACTTTTTGAGTGATGAACTGTTTATTAGCTTTAATGATTCGTGCCAATTTGAAACTATATTTGACGATAAACGTCTGAAATTGTTTTAAAATAATTATATTAAAAAATTGAAACAGAAATAAGACTTACTTTTACAGCGAAATAAGAAAGCAGTAATATGGCATCTATGGCAATAATTATTCCCGGACCCATAATGTGAGCGTTGTGAACACTGTTTTGACTTGCTACAAATATCACTTCACCAACAGCAAATAAAACAAATGCAATCACAATGCTAATAAATATCAACTCGACGATGTTAAGCCATGCGAACTAATGATTGAAAATTTAAAAAGAAAAGCCCTTTTTAATTAATGTTCTTTCTCACAATATTATTTTGAATAGAATTCTGTAGAAAAACAAGCAACGAGAGAAAAAGTACTTTAGTTGATTATTACTTTCTTTCAGTACTTAAGCGACATCATTGAATCTAACGATGATTTTAGTCTTTTTTTTAAAGTAAATCGCATCTCAACCAGATCAAGTAATTTTTCCTAATGAATCGAAACAAACATAATTGCTGCTTTAGCTAGCTGTGTCTCTAAATGAAATATGACTAATAATAACGTTTACTAAATGGTCGATTACAGTTATTGTAGAAACTGAATCAATTTCTCATCACCAGAGTTAATTGAAAGATAACGAATGGTTGAATTTAGAGTGAGAGAGATTTTTTATTTTAATTTCGATCCTTCGCACAGTAATATATATATATACAGCTATATAAGTATGAACACTATCTACCTAAACATAGGTACAGCTATTATACAGCATACGTTTGTTAAAAGATTAGAAGGACTAGTTAATCAATCATCGCTGTTATTTAGAAGAAAATCTTATGATTAAACTATTCAGTAGCTCAATTCATTGTATTTAATCACTGATCGAGTTTTTCAAATGATTATTCGAATGTCAGGATACGTTGACCACTTTTTCTAACGTTTCTTTTAAGTCTTTGTTAACCATATAGATTCATCAATAAATACACATTACTTTGACCAGTCGTTTTAGTTTTAATTTAATTTTGCCTCGCTCTGTGACACATATCTATTAAGAGCTCATGCGTCAACGTGTTGACGTAACCGTGAACTATATTATTAATTAGAAATGAAAAACTTCAAATTTTGGTTCCAGCCGTGGCGAAACTATTTGTTGTTCACATTTAAACACGTTGTTCGCTATCTTCTAAAAAAAATGTATGAATGGAAAGAAATATTCAACATACCACAAGTAGGCCTGTTCGACGGTAACCAAAAATGGCAAATAGTCCAAAAGTGTTCAATACAACCGATAAAACAGCTTGTCCAACTATTAAATTTTTTATTTTTCGTTCTGAATCAGGTACTCTTGGCAACTCGAGACCAGTACTAATCATATTGAACAAAGAGAGTACCTGTGAAATGGATATTTATACTGAAATATGTTATTTTACGTTCAAATTCAAATACATAGAATGCAATGAAAGGTTTAATCTGAATTTTGTTGTTCAAAATAAAACAAAAAGGCACTATAATCAGTTAAATTCGTTCTAATATTTGAATCTGTTTTAACCAAAAAAGTCACTATACTTATCTAATTATCTTTGAGCAACGATTAGAAAAAGAAACTCACCCAAAAAGCACCAACTGCGATGAGAAGAATTTTTCGAGTTCGTTTCAGTTGAAGTTGATCAGCCAATGGTGATGATTCAACATTAATATTCGGGATATCGCTCTGCACGGTTATCATCATACTTTCTTTGGTGTATTGTGTTTGAATAATAAGCAAAAGCTAATTGAATCTTCGAAATAAATGCAGAAGAAACGATAAATGCTTTTTTGTAAATTTCTCTCATCAATAAAAAAAAAAAGTAAATGGAACACGAAAAGAAATTTAGCTTATTATCGATTCAGCTAAATAAAGATAAATGAATTTCTTATCATAGTTCACCGTAGTTTTAACAGAAGTCACGCAGAAGAAAAATGAAAAATACAAAATGTTTGCATTAGCATGTCATTCGACGGTAACTTCAGTCCATATGTGTTACGTTACGTCTAGTATCAGGCATATAGAAAGTTACTATATCTTTTAAGCGTGTTGAGAAGTGTATCTTCAACATGTATGAATGAGTATTGTTCTAGTCAATCATGATATTTGTTGAACTGTTTAATATCAGCCCAACCGCCGTATCTCTACGTTCGCATCGGCTCAGATTTTATAAGAGAAAAAGAATCACGTATTGATAAGATCAGCAGTATGAAATGGAATTTAAGAATAACAAAAGAAGAGAGTAGAAGTAAAGCGCGATAATCGATAAAGTTAACACTCTTTTCAAATCCATTGTTTACTCTTTTTTTTGTATTCTCTTCTCGTTAGCTCGTGGTCTCTTACTTACGAAAAATGAAAAGATTCTATAGACTATTACAAAATATCTTAGATAAACTTTTCTATCTCTCAAATAAACTGTTCTATCGTAGTTCACCAGTTACATTGAGGATTAGACAAATATTTGATCGGTGACATAAATGCTCGTTTCAAGCGGAAAAATGACGTACATGTCAAAAATGCTTAAAAACTAAACTTACGGTACACACAGTAAACAAAAAAAAACAGTAACGAAAATATCCCGTTCCCCCAATAACGTCAAACCACTGTAAAACTCAATGAGAAAAATAGTTTGCATAAATGAAAAATCATTTTTCCCATAGAAGAAAAATGCGTTCGTATGTAATCGCAATGAACGTACAGGTATTCGCGATAAGAGAAAAAGGAGTTTGCACAGTACTTGGGAAAATTTACAGTCGGTTAGATTTTGGTTGACTTTGGTTAAAACAATGATGGGGAAATTTGCATGAAGATGGAATGCCGAAAATCATTTACGATATCAGGGAAAGCGTTCATAGTTTTGTGGTGATGCATGACAAATGTCAAAGAGCTGATAAGAAATTTGGTTTCAATGAATCGTTGGGAAAGAACGAATGTGAAGAATGAAAAGTACTCATATTTGGTGATTGTAAAGTTCTGTGGAGCATGAAATATGTTGAATATGCACGAATCTCTTTTCTGAACAGTGACGACAAAAGTACTCAATATAAATTTAGTATACACACGCTGACTTATATTTACATAGTTTGTCTTCTGTTATAGACAGAATGGGAAAAGAATTCATTTTTGACCTGAACGGTATTTTCCCGCTTGAAATGAACATTTATCTCACCAATCGATTTTTTTGTCTATTGCTGGTTACATTTCATGACATAGCAACATATTTTTTATTAGTTTATTTGAAATAAATATTCCATTGACTGTTGATATTCAAAACGTATTTTATTGTTTATCTGAAACTGAAATGAATAAATAGGATTACAATAGACTAACAAATTATATTGATTTATTGAAGAATCCAGTTGAAAAAAAACCTACGAGAAGTTTCTTCTTGATCCTTCAGGTACGGTTAAATTTCAGTCACTCTTTATATCTCCTTGTTGATTTCTAAAAGTTTTATTATCAACGACGAACGACCTCCAGAAGAGTAATAAAAAACTGAAAATAAATGTGAATCTCTTTGAATATTTTATCAATTGTCTTCAAGTGAAATAATTTCATACTATTGAAAGTTATTAGTATCACCTAATTTACGTTAGATAAAGAGTGGATTTCAGTTTCCAGATAGTTTTCTCCGCACAGTGCATACGCCACATTCTGAAGCGCGCATTCATTATAGTTCTCTAAATCATTTTTCTTGAGTTTGTATATGCATTCTACTTGGTTTTCTATAACAGAACTGATTTTTCTTATTATTCGAATATAGAGTGCTTCTATCAAATTCGTTCGCGAATTGAAATAATTATCAACGAGTAAGTATTATCATCATCGGTTATCCAAGGTTTATTTTGATTACTGCCAATGGAATGTCGAGAGGAATGGACAGTTCTGCTTTATTCAGATATTCAGACCTTACTCATGTCGTGGTAGATACAGTGAACAAACAAGATCTTTTGCATATCTGCTGCCACATTACTTTGACGTGAACATAAATGCTTTATCCGTGATGAACTCACCAACTTTGTTCGACCAGAGATCATCGCCAGTCATGTTACGCTCATCCAAACTACCGGAAGCTGTAAAGGCAGAATACATACGTCCTGTGAAACATTCTGCTTTAGGAGTTTCGTTGTTGCAACTATTGATCGATCGATTGAAGAGATCTTTCATTGCATCTGTTTAAGCACACTTTTTCCCAAGAGAAATCGAACGACTTCTAAATACTCATTGAGAGATGCGTTAGTTCTAGTTTGTTGAACGTCGATAAGAATATCGAGCGACCAAGACGGAAGTAGATGTCGAATCGTTGCGAAATCACCAATGTGTCTAGCCACAGAGAACTCACTCAAACTCAATCTTACTTCTCTTAACTATCTTTGCGTTTTTTCCACAACTTCTGTTATATCAGGATACAACTATACTTGAAACGAAATCTCTCCATATATACTGAACGTTAAAGTAGTCTCCCATTCCTTAGAAATCGAAACCATTGTGAAATGTGGTTCTAGCGGGAAAAACAGCACGTTCCTTTCTGAAAATGCAAATCTCAAAGCAATTTATTCAGTAAATGAATAATTCGACAGAATTTCAGTATATTCGGTCGAGCTAATATGTTTACTAAATTCTTACCACCAGCATCTATGTTGTGCTATAGATTATTAATTGTAATTCTTCCCGATTGCGTTGTTATTTTTTGTAATACTTACTAGAAAAATCATCTGAAAACATTATCTCAGATGAAATAATAACTTTTCTGTTTTCGTCTTTTTTTCACAACAATGTCGTTCATGCGTTTATAGTTTAACATTGGATTTTTCAAATAAGATACATCTAGTTCTCATCAAACTCGATATTATTCATCAAGCCTTTGCTATAAATAATTCAGCTGAAATCCCGATTGTATTTCTTTATCATTCGCAAACAATATTCAGAGGATACAAGAACAAACACATGTAAAATGCACATAAGGATTGATCATTCCCAGAAATTTTCAACACAGATGATAAAAAATATTCTCCCGTGTTTTTGAAAGATCTCCTGCTCCTGTTCGTTGAATTTTTCTTGTAGAAACTTCAATCTTATATAAGGTAAATACTCTCAAGATAAACTATATCAGATCATTATAAGAAGACGAGTCTGGATGCCATCAGAGTTGTTCGATATTTTGATTGTTCTGTTTTTCAGACTTTGCTCCTCTTGCAGTAATATATGATTCTGTTATTATTATACTACAGTTATTTTAGTTTATTGAATGCAAGAAGTATTCTAGATAGTAATATAGAAAAAAATTGTATACTACATAGACGAAACAACATATCTTATAATACAGTATACGAGAAAAATTAGACTGTGAGATTGTTGAACTGTTCCTCACTTTTAAGTAGTCGTGCCAATTTGAAAGTATATTTTATGACGATCACCTGAAAATAGTTAAAGTATATCCGCAAAATGAAAACGAAACACTACTTACTTTTAAAGCAACACAAACTGCAAACAACGCAAAAATCACGATAAGGAGTACAGTGGGAATATTCGAGTAGCGATTAGAACGATCAGTTTGGCCCGTAGTAAATAATAAATGACCAATGACATAAATGATAAACGCCAGAAAAAAGCCAATGAATATCATTTCGATCGTCTTGAGCCATGCAAACTAGTGATTGATAATATTTAAAAAAAAAATTTATTTGATCACGTCATTTCACATAATATTAATTTTAAAAAATTTCTCCTAAAGAACACACACGTACTATGAAAAAGATTTCGAAACATTTTTCGGATGAATGAATACGCACCTGAAGCGTATCACATTCAATATAATGCTTTAGCTAGTTTTTTAAAAGGAATGTTATCAAATCAATGATTAATTATGGTTTTCCTAGTTTTCGTTAGAGTATATTACGTTTCAACCAGATTAGCTGATTTCGTTAAAGAAAGAAGCGTTTCCAAATCACTTGAAAACAATTACAATTGCTGTTTGATACTGATCTACTTCATATCTAGTTGAAATATATAACGCATAAATTGATACATTCGAGCAAATATTAAGTAACTATGAAATGTATAATTCTGAATTAAAAAATAACTTTTATCCTGATTCTAGTTGCCAGGCAAATATCTTTTCCGTGCCTAAGCACTTTATCCGATGCATATAAATCTCTATTTTCGTCAGAAAATAGGAAGCGAAAAACACTTAACATACCACAGACACGCCCTTTCGATGGTATCCACGAATGACGAAGATTCCAAAGGTATCAAATAGAATCGGCAGAAATGATATTCCAACTATAAAACCGTTCATATTGGCTGTTGAATCACTTTGATTCTTAATCGGCAAGCTCCTTTTTAACATATTCAACACAGATATTACCTACAAAACGAATATTTACATAGTCATATGATTTGTTTAATTAAAATACATTGACGATAATAAAAGTTTCAATCTGAATTTGTTCGTTAAGAGTGAAGTAAAGACGCTGATCCGTTAAGTTAAAGTTTATCCCATATTTGAGTGTGTTTTCCTCTAACTTTCAGTAATCGTTAAATAAACTCACGAAGAAAAAGCCAACCAAGACCAAAAGAATTTTTCGAATTCGTTTGATTTCAATTTGATCAGCCGATGGTGACGGTTGGACAATAGCATTTGGGATAGTATTGTCAGTACTCTTATTAAACTGCATTCGTTTATAATGGAAAGTTTTTAAATCTTGAAAATAGCAAGAAAAAAGCTAAAGAGACATGACCTGGAAGTATCCATTGTTTTTTCATCGGAAAATAACTTGACCGAACAGTTAAGTGAAACTGGTGCTTACCTGATGCCAATAGAATGCTTGAATGAGGAACAAAAAGTAAAATACAAGAGAAGTGCCGGATTTGCTTTCAAAACTGGAAAAAATACTATGAAAGCGATAGTATGGCTCACCAGAAAATATCAATATTTATCATTATTTCAAATTATTTTGTTTTTCATGAAAGTACGAAGAGCGATGAAGACTTTAACGTAGAATACTGTCTTTCTCTCTCTCTCTCTCTCTATATATATATATATATATGCTATTGAATGTCTATAAAAAGAAATTTGTTCATATCTCAGTATAGAACAACAAGCATAGAAAGTTTATCGGAAAAAGTCAGGTTCCTCTCGTTTCAACTTACATGCAAGAGAGAAAGCAACCAGAAAGATTTCGAGATTCAGTTAAAATGACTATATTTTTCAAGAAAGTTCGTGTGAATCATAATTTTTCTATCACTAATCTATATAGGTCCTCCGGTACATTTTTCGTAGTGTTGACATAAAACACGCAAAGGAATAATAAAAAAAAGTAAAATGTTCACGTTAGGATTTTATATGACCATAGCTTTCTATATACGTTGTCTCGTTTGATATCAGTCAAATAGCAGGTTAAACCTTTTATACGCATTTAGAAGTGTATTTGTATGCGTCGAATGTACACAACGAACTGCACATATAATTCTGTCCATATTGTCGATCATACTATGCAATGCATAGTATGCATTGATCTAATTATTTTATCATTCAAGTCGTATCGATAACCAAGCTTATGTAATAGTTCACCAAAGGAACGAAAAACAAATCATATATCGATGAGCTCTAACAGTATGAAATAAAACTTATACGGAAGTAAAATAAAGTGCATTGAAGCATGTCAGCCACCATTCATTAATGTTTTCATCGTATTTATACGTGTGTAATCTGTTTTTAATTTTATTGGAAAGCATTTTATTCTTCTCAGTTCTCACTGTGTTGCAATGGAGATTACAAGATAATCAATTCGTCTTCCACGAAGTACCAAAACTAAATAGATCATATCACCTATTAATTGTGCGGCTATCAATGATATTTCAAATGAATCTATGATTAGAAATAAAACTATCTTCATCAATGACATATTTTGATTCGTAAATATAGAGATCGAGATGTATTTCAATCGTTTAACACTGATAAATCACTTTCGTATGATCAACAACAATGCAAGTCTATCGGAAGTGATGACCTAGTCTACAACTCAGATCCGAAAAGTCACACTTTTCTTGTTGTTTCATAGAATTTTCATTTGAAATAATCATTATTTATATTGATTTACTGCACAGTCCAGTTAAAAAAGAAGTACAACCACTTGAATACGTCGAAATTTCTAAGTTTTTGTTTTAATGAAATTTAGTCTTCAGAAAAGTAATACGCTTTAAAACGATAGTGTCTACATGCCAAAAATCTGGCTGATAATGAGTAAGTTCATAAGTCAGACTACATTTCAGCAAAATAATTGTTTCGTGAAAGATCGAAATTTTCCGTTATTCACAACAATTTCAATGATAAAATGGTTTCAATCGGTATCCACGACATCAAATAATAACAAAATTAAATTTCTATATTTCATCGATTTTTTCGACTCTACGAAAAAAAATTATTTTATTTCAGAAGGAAAAAGCCGAACGAAAACATCAAGTACAACAACAATAATACAAGAAACAAACATCTACACATACACATATAATTTTTTTTCTCAGCCACATAAACAAAAAAAAATCTTTTTCTTTTTTTAATATTATTGCAACTAGGGTATTGAGTTAAACTCAATATAGGCTTTTTTGTCTCCTACAATGTACGCAGGTGAAAAAAACAAGGGAAAAATATACAATTCAATAAGTTTGATTTTAAAATTCTATTTCGAATAGAATTTTATTTATTTGCATGAACGCCCGGTTGACGAACTTGTAATTCATTGTGATATAATTTTGATAAGATCAGTAGTTGATGTTTTAATACTTGTAGACTGCTCGACGATTGAGTACGATTGACATCATTCAATAAGTCATTGTCAATCAATGAATCTGATGTTTTCTTATCATCGAACCAATGTGGATTTTTAACAATTAAGATTGGATGAGCGAACAAAAATGAGTAAAACCCTAAAAATTCGACCGAAAATAGTTAAGAAGGATATGAATTGTTTTCTGACAACTTACATTCTTGTGGAATATCAACATGTGTTTTATTGAGATTCAAACATAATATATGTTCAAAACGTTGTTTAGCTATTTGTTCAGCTTCTTCGAATGTTTTTATTGAACGTATACGATCGATTGTATCGAATATTTCTTGTTCTTCATAAGGTGAAAGAAAACCAATACGTGTATCAAAACGATGATGTTGCCCAACAAGAATAGTATTTAATGATGATACGGGGTTCGACTACAAAAAGTAAATATATATATATATATATATTTATCAGAGGATATTTGCTCTTCGAAAGCACAAATTTCGTCAATTTTGCTTTACCGTATTTCGAAATGCCTGTGGTTTTGTAATAGATGGTTTTGCTGTCGTCGATTTGGTTGGAATCGGTGTAGTATCCGCATTTGATTCGGTTTTTTCAGCATCACCATTTGTTATAACCGATGGTTTACTAAGACGTGGTCGTCCTCGTTTCTTTCCTGTACTATTTCCATTGGTGGGCGCTGCTTCAGTAGTATTGGTCGGTGTTCGTTGTTGATATGAAATCGATGAGCCATTAGCTGCACTATCTTTTGGTGCATTTGAATTGCGTGCATTGCGACGTTTAGCTGGCGGTGTTGTTGTAAAATCAGCATCATGGGATGTTTGCTTTTTAAGTTTTATTTTAACTGATGGTGTCTTACGGACAGGTGTTGTATCACTTGATGATTCATCCTCAGATTTGAATTCGAAAGTTTTTTCCGCAAGTAATGACCGATCAGTAACATCGATCGATGATGTCGGTGCATTTGATGATTCAGAAGCATCATCTGATTTTGCCATTGATCCTTTTGGTTTGCGACCAGGTTGAGTTTTTGATGTAGCTAAACAAAAACACATGTTCTACAAAAGTTCTCTTGCGATAAATGATTCATACTGATTTTTGATGTATAAAATTGAAGTTTTGGTTCAATTCCTTCTAGACGTGTTTCACTTGTTTGTTTAATTGTTTCATCAGCTTCGCGTACAGCCATTTCCCAATCTTCACGACGACCAATAGTAACTTTCAATTGAAATCGTTCTGTTAATTGTTCTTTTTGAGATTTTGTTTGAGCCTATTAAACATTGATGTAAAAACGATTTCAAAAATTTCCTCTTAATTACTTTATCAACAATTTCTTGCGCATATTTAGTAAAAGCTTCAACACCTTGATAAGGTATTATAGCTGCATCAGGAACCCATGCAAAATCAGCTGTTGAACCATAGAAAACAACGAAATACATTCGTTTTGCACGTGCACTACCTATGATATAAATTATTCTTAATTATTTTTTATATTCAATTTCGCTTTTATTATCACTCACCGGATACTTTAGTAAAGCATCGCGTTGCATCATTTGGATCGCGAATGATAAGACTTGGCCACCTGAATTTTGAAAAATGACATCTTTTTCAGCGCGAAAGAATATATACAATTACCATGGATGCCCACCAATTTTAACCCAAACAACATCAGCAACATCGTGAAGTATGGGAATATTTTTATCACGTTCTTGTTCATCATCTGCATCAGCAGCTGCTTGCTCTGCTGAACTACGTTGTACTTTAGTTTTAATTGCTTTAGCACTACCATTCACATTCGTTGTCGTTGGTTCTTCACCTAAATATCTAACATGCATATTTTACGAGTTAAGGAAATCTGATTTACGTTTTGGTAGTGTACGTCTTGGACGAGAATTTGGTGTAGAACTTTCATCCGTTTCAGCAGACTTTTTGGTTGAACGTTTTCGTTTGCCTGTTTTTGTTTCTGTTGGTGCCTCTTCTTCGCCACCATTTATTGCTGTTTCTTCGTGATTTGGTGGTTCGACATCATTTATTGATGTATCCATTTTAGTAACCGTTTCAGTATGTTCTAGATATAATAAATGATGTGTAAGATAATCTTAGCCAGTTCAAAAATTAGTACAGGTATACCTTTAACAGGAGATATTGACGTAGAGACTACTTCTGTGCTCATTCGGATACGTTGAGGCGGATAATGCTAAGTTTGTTCAGTGTCAAAAGAAAAAGAGCTGAATAAACAAAGCATATTTAATAGTTAACCAATCACGTGTAAGTCTTTCATTTTATTGTTTAAATAATGAATTGATATTATTATTATAAATTCATTGCTTTTGAAATAAATATTTATTTTCTCAATATATTTTATTTTTCAGAATAGATTATATTTGCTTATCCATCTTATAATGTATAAACTGTAGAGGTCGTCGTCAAGTGATCGAGAACAGTTTATGAAGTAAATGACATATTAAACAATTCGTTACTACTGCAATTGCTCGTTCTTTTCTTCTCAAACAGGAGAAATGACAACAGTCGAATTCGGTGGTGGACCAACCCTTGAAGCTTGCCAGCAATTCGCTAATCTCAAAGATGGCTCGGAAATTCCAAAGTAATCATTTTTCACGTTTGAAAACTACGATATGAACATGAAGTGTAAGCGATCATCGTTTATGAGACAACAATGAGTTGCTCTATCTCCACGAAGCAGAGATGAAGTTTCTAAAGTATTACATGGTTGCTAATAATGAGAATTATCGATCCGAGATTAACTAAGTTTTTGTCTATATTAATTGATCGAAAAGCTAAATTTTCTGGTGGAATTTTGTATTTTTATTAACAAAAATTTAAACGATTTGCTCTTTATTGTTTTTGTATGATTTCTTTAATTCATTCATATTTGACCAGCTTAAGATGAAATCGAATGAAATAATTCTATTTTTTTTTTGTTAAACTTGTAATGCTTCATGCTAATGATTGAAACAACAGGGAGAAGACAGACAAATGACTGAAAAGAATATTTTAAAAGCTATAAAAATAAAATCATGTATTGAAAAGCTATTTTATTTATTTATCATATAGATATACAGGTCACATTCATCAATTACGATTTCGTCAAGGCCATACATACGGAGAAGAAACACATATTTTATCCAAAGAATTTCCTCATTTAATTAAACGTTCAAAATCAGATGCTATTGTTAAATATGATCAACCTGATCCATATGTAACACGAGACTTTCCTGATGGATTAATTCCAGGTTATACAGGTAATGGAATAAAAAGAAGAAAACCTCATTTTTGTCTATAGTTAAATATGGATCGAAAATTAGGTTATGTACCTCAACGAAAATATCAACACGGTAATCGATATCGTATTGAAACCGATGCATGTGTAACCGGAACACAAGCTGCATATGCAAGAGGAAGACAACAAATTCAAGAATTACAACGTACTGTGAGTGCTTATCCAAAAACACGCAGTTTAAACAGTGGTACAGTTGTGAAACATTTTCTTGATTATCATCGAGCATATCATCCAAATGAAATTTCTCAACAAGGTCTGTAAAGAGAGTTTTTTCAATGAAGACAATTTTTGAATATAATTATAGAGGATCGCCGACCCTTTGTCGAACCACCTATGCCTGGCTATTATGGTTATGTTCCTCGTATGGTTCCAATAGGAGTCGGTCTTGGCTCACGTTATCATGAGGCAACAAAAAAATCTTTGCATCGTTTTGCAGTTGAAACAACAAATTCGACGACAAATTTTCCTACAATTGTTGATAATCAATCATTATCACCAAATTATGCTACTCGGCCAGAGTAAATCATTTACTAACGCTTTTCATTCATACAGTATTCCTCTCATTCTAGACAGGTTATTTACGCCTAGTAATGCTTTGCTTTTCGGATAGAAAACAAAACTTTTCTTTGCTCGTTTTCTTTAAAGCATTCGAAGCATATCTAACATTTATTCTAATTTTAGCTATACAAGAAGTTTAATTGATTTTACACAAACGCGTCCAAAATCAAGTTCATCTTTTAAAATCTACAATCCAACCGGAATGGTTCCGAAATATACGGGTTATTTACCTCGTAAGTTTTCTAATAGAAAAACAAAAGAAAAAAGAGGTTTATTATATATAATTTCTTTTGATGTAATTTCAAGAACGTAAATATCGTGTTGGACAAACGTTCGGTGATACAACACGCGGTTTGCCGGTTTGTTCTGATTTATCATCTTCCAGTCTCGGTGATTTCGCATAATCAAAAAATAGTTATGGAACCAAGCTCAACTTATAATTAATTAAAAGAGAATAATATTATTTTATCTACGATTGCCTTTTTCACACCTTTTGTTCCATATGAACACATATTTTTTTTGAGTGTTTTTATTTTCTGATGCAGTTTCCCATTCATTTTATTTTGACAAAGCTCATCAATAAAAAGTCTTTAATTGAGTAATAGGCGAGAAAATAAGCGGTAGTGAATTTGCAACTAGTCATTACGATTCAATATTGACTTGAATTTCAACAATAGCCGGATTATTATTGATTGACAAGAGATAACTGTTACTGCCGGTCGATGGTATCATAGATTGAATTGAACCAAGGCCAACTTGTAATGTTCGAATGTTACGCTATGAAATGAAAATCAAATAAAACTAATCTTGGATAAGAATCTTCATTTTTTCTTACTTTATTAGAACTTTGAAATAAACGAATTTGACCATCTTTACCGGCACAAATGACGAGATTAGATGATAAAACGATTGCCGATGTACACATTTCCACTATTGATTTGTCTAAACAAGAAAATAATAATCGATAGTTCGGACGCAATCGCCGACGGATTATTTCCGTCTCTTTTTTCAGGTTCGAGCTGGCAACTTTTTTTCCATCACGAAGAAAGCATTGCATTTCATAGAGTTAAAAGCAAAAAATTCTAGAAGCGACACCAAAAATATAAAAGAACAATAACGTTCAAAAGAATTTTTTCCCCGTCAGCTAGTGCTTTACATTTTAATTTTTCTATATTCTAAATATGAACGTTAATCACCCTTTCATTGAGAAATGATTAATTCTTTCAAATGAATGAGACACAAAAGTGGGAATAAGGCGTTTTCTAGATTGTTTTTTGAAATTGAGTATATGAATAACAACTTGTTTATTTTTTCTTCTTCTGAAGTGCTGCCTTTTGAAAGTTTCGATTACTTAAGCCAACCAAATCTTTATAAGTCCTTCATAATTAATAGTATATTTTGTTGTGAAAAACAACACTAAAATGCATAAGTTATGTTTTGAATATGAAAGTAGTTGACATTTCATCTGCATGATGTAGCTTTTGCACATGTTTTTACTTAGCTAGTAATGTCTTTCTTCTTGTAGTTGTTTTAGAGCTTCACAGCGTAGTCGTTTTTCTTGTTTTCAATTCTTTTCATCAAATGTAAATCATGAAGTGCTGCAATGTTTTTATTCTTTTTAAAATGCACGGCCACTCAGTTGATAGGTATTCTATGATGGTTGATTATAGTACAATACACACAAGTTTTTATCTCATTCAATAGGTTTGTGGATTCAACACTACGAAAATTTATTTCTCAGTGACTTGAAAATTTCTATCATACCAATTAGATTACACACCATTGGATTTGTCATTTGATGCCATGAGATATTTTTAATATTTTGTTCACGTACAACATCAAACGATGGCATTGACCCTATAATCATAATTATAAAACGTTTCTCTCAAATCAAATTTATTCATTACGCACAAACGTTATAATTGTCACCATTATAAATTGCAAGAAGATAACTTGAGTCAACTGACCATATCATATCAATGACTGGTAGATTATTATTCTGTAAGAATCGTGTATCGTCAGGAAAAAAACTTGAAATATGTATTCATTCTATACCTGAAAATTTCCGTTAGTTCGCAAATTAAACTCTCCATTGCCTAATACTTCAAATAAACATATCATTCCATTTTTTAATCCAACTGCTAAATCTCCACCATCTAAATTTAACAAACATATGATCTTATCGAATCTTGTCATAGAATAAAACCTGGTGAAAATCGCACTGCTTTCACTCCGGTATTAATCCTTAACAGAATTGTTGTTATATAGCATGATGATAAAGTATCATAGATAAGTAGTTTGCTTGCTTCAGTACCAAGAATAATTATGTTTCTTTGAGGATGTAAAGCCACGCATGAAATTAATTGCTGAAATAGAAAAAATGAATTTCTATGAATAATATTTTTTTTTCTGTGTTCCCTACCGGAGACCTAATTGACCATTCAACTAACTTTGTTCGAGTATTCCATTTATATAGATATCGATCAGAACTTGTAAAAAAGAAAGAATCAGTATTTTTATTCGAACAGATATATGCCGATGGACCTGTATGCCCCTATATGAAATAATTGTTTTTTTTTTGTTTGAAATTTAATTTTCATTTAAAATACATACTTGCATTAAAATATCAATAAAGTTTCGATTGAATTCTTTTAAAAGAATATAATTTGATTTTGTTCCAATGACTAATCCTTGATGAATCGAACATATCGATTGAATTGAACCATAAATATCATCCAACTAATAACAAGAAAGAAAATATGTTCGTATTTTCCTGCATTGAATCTTTACTGATATATCTGCAATAGCATTTGACCTGACATGCCAAAGTTTCATTTGGTTTTGTCCATTGGCAAGAAGAAAAGATTCTTCATTGATAAATACAATCATCGTCACATCGTTCTATTAACGAAATAAAAATTGTGTATGTTGTTTTTGTCTGAATATATTCTGTTTATGAATAATATTTACCTCTATAATACTTTTTTTCACAGCTGATAATCTCGGTTTATTATCGGTTAAACACCAGATATGTGCACTTCCAACTTTATCACCGACAATCAGGCTTTTACTGGCATTAAAAAATGCAATTGCACCCGTATAAATATTCTAATATACGAAAATCATAAGAAAATTGATCATAGTCATTTTCAAATATAGCTACTCTTACTTGAACGTTTGATTCTTGTTCTTCTGCAATTTTCAGGGGCTTTGAATTCCAATCGATACGATAAAATGTTAAATATTGTTGACTTATACATGTTATCCATTGGTTTGTATTAAAAGCAAAATAAGTCGAAAGTATTTTATCAGATTTACTCTAAATAGCAGGCAAAGAAAACGATATCTACTGTTTTAACGAAAAGACAAAGATGATAGTTACAGTAATACTATAGATTATTTCATTATGCTTCCAATCAGTAACCAAAATAATTTCTGGTTTATCACGCGAAACAATAAGAATGAAATTATCATCTGATTTAGTTGAAAATGATAGAAGAGATATTTCAGAGCCAAATTGTTCTTTACATAATTTAGTTATTGTTTCAAGTTTCACATGATCCCAAATGTGGATTAAAACATAAAGACGATCGTTTGATGATATTGTTTCACTTGAGGCAACTAACGGATGATATTGATGAGTAGTAAGACTAGATTAAGAGAAAAATGAAATTTTTATTAATAATTATTCATTTACACAAGGAAAAATAATAAAGAAAAGTTAGATGTTCCAATGTTTTATGAAAATTACTTCTTATATACACAATTCAAGGTTGATGAACCCCAGAAAACGATTACTACTTGAGTGGGAAGACCGTTAGATAATAAATTGTCTGGGTAGACTTTGAACTAAAACAAATTTCTTGCTCCTACACAGCTTCATTTACAAAATATCAGCAAGGGTAAAAATTTATTTCAACGCGAACAGATACAAACAGCGAGCATCAGTCACTTGCCAATTTATTGTATTATTGTGTTTAGTATAAAATCGTTGTTGTTTTAAATCAATTTCATATAAAATGCATACAGCATTGATTACATAGAGTATTTCATTGTCCGATAAATTATAAAGTGTTTTTGTTTGTTCTTTGGCGCCATCATAACCATAACTAAAAATGAAAAGATAAAAAGTAAAATTTTTCTAGGAAAAAACGTATGTCTAACTTACATCCAACTGATAGATAATTTTGCATCTAAAACAATTTAATCAAAGATAATTTTAGAAAATATTTCAAAAGTAAATACCTTGTTTCAGAGTTGATCTTTGAAATTCACTCAGCGGATTCTTTGGCGATATCGTGCTATTAAAGAAACCACCAGCTACGATTGCTGGTAAATTTTGTTGTGAATGCTGAAATTCTGCTTCTGAACAACCAATAAATCGATCGGTTATTTTCAATGTATTAAACAATTGTGAAAAACTTTTTATCTATAGAACGAAATTCATATTAAAATAAAGAAAATATTTTATTATGAATTATCTTTACTTCAATAAACGTAGATTTTGTTATTGCAAATAAATGTGTGATAATATCATCATCGATATAATGATAAAGTAAACTTGTTACTTCTTTATTTAGCCATGAATCAAATTTAGCAGCTGAATTTCGATTTAAAATCATAATTTCATACATATCTAAACAAGAATATGGAAATATATAGAATTGATCGCCAGTGATAGTTGATGAACGTCGCTCTGTCACAACTGACGATCGTTTAGTTGAATTTGGAACTGGATTCCTTTTATTTGTACGTCCATTTGAATCATCATTGAATGCGTCATTGATTGAACGATAATTTGTTTTAGTGAACGGTCCTGCTGCAACAACATATGATTGACGATTTTCCAGTTTATTCATCGAACGAATTTGCTGCCCATCAAGAGTATAAACATACTGAATAGCTCCAGATGATAAAATAAGTTTTGGATGTTGATTAAGAAAATTTAGAAATGCTTCCCAAGATTTTATTTCTAATTCATTTATTGCTATGACAGTGCCCGGATGATAGTCATCACCATTACGAAAAAATCGAAGTAAAATACCTTTAACTCCACGACGATCAATCGAAGGAATAGTTGATATGGCTTGAGCTATTCAAAAACAAAGGGAAGATTTCATATTACACATCATTTTTAGCATAGCTGAAGTCTTTATTAGTAACGGTGTGATACATTCGTGATGATTGCGCAGACAATGATTGCATTTTCTAACACATTCAAAAAGTATCTTATTTTTCTGTTCTACATATCTATTTTTATAGGAAAAAATTTCTGATGTTAATTAAAAACATAAATATATGCATATAGCTATGCTCTATCATTAGCAACGAAATCGTATCGAAGAAAAGTACAGATTTATGAGCAGTCTTACATTAGGACTAGAAAGATATTCTATCTGAACCAGAGTCTCTGATAGAAAATTTCGATACATAATATTCTTTTTCGTACTGAAATCTATTGAATAATAATTATTGTCCATCCGAATTGAATTTCACTTCTCTACGTTTCGGTTAAGATCGCACAATTGAAACTTGATAGTATTACGACGATTATAAGATGTTCTCCTATTTTTCTATAAATAATTTATATTTTACGTTTATTTCTTAATTGTTGAAGACAACGCATCCTTTCAATAATGGCAATATGGTAATTATACTAAAATACAGAATGAATAAACAACTATGCGGACTTATAAATAGAACAATTATTTTTTTCTGCGAGTCGCGGACTTGTTTTTATCGAATAGAATCCACTTAGAGATCGAATATTTTAAGTTATATGTAATCATTGAGGACAATTACATGCTATAGTTTCTAAGTACGCCTCACTCGAAATTTAAATAAAATTTCTATACTAACATGGTTTTCTTAGTGAATTCAATTTGAGTAATGCTGATTCATCCTCTGTACTAGCCGTAGATGATGATAATTTTTTTGAATCTTTAGGTTTCGATATGCGAGTTATTTGTTTGAGTTTTTCCACAGGCTTTACTTCTTGTACTGGTTCTTCGACAGATTTCGATTCTTGTGATCGTTCTTCGTCGTTATAGATTTTTACTGGCGATGCACGATCATCAAAACTACTTGGAAGTCGATCACTATGAATTGGATGCCATGGTTCTGATAAACTTGGTCGAGATTCAAGTTGATGTTCATCATTCTCATCGATTTTACTGATTTCAATTGTTGACTTTGGCATATATTGAACAGCATGCATGTTTCTGATGTATACGCTTGTAATAATGAAAAAGAATAAGAATAAAAGTTCCTACATATCAACATGTTTGTCATTGGTTAGGAAACAGGTTTTTGTGTTTCTTTGGAAACTAGACAAAATTTAGAAAAAAAAGAAAGTGTAAAAGAAAATGGTATTGTTAACTAATATAATTAAAGTGCTGCTCAAATGCATCTAAAAACAGAAGGAGAGAGAGAGAAAAAGGAAATGATAAACATAAGTGAATTGAAAAAAGTTAATATTCGTCTGTTTAATGGTAGTCTAGTGTTTTTCTTGTATGTTGAAAAAATGAATATCGAATCATATTTTATATAAACTAATGTAGTTAGGAGCAAACAAAAATCCAAATCGTGGGAATATGGTAACCTTAGAGATATCTCAAAAGTTTTGACACATTTTTTATAAGGCATTATTCTCGTACCTCACAAAAGCTAATTTTGCCTTCTTGCTATTCTCTGTCGTTTTTTGCTTAGAAACGGAGAGTGAATATATTTACTGTATGATTCTAGTACTGCACCTGTGAAGTAAAGAGTGATGATATCACGACACAAGCGCACTTTGCAAGAAAAAGTGCTGTTACAATTATAACGAAATCAAGATGTTTTTCTACCCTATCACCACCCAGACTCCCTTTAGATCGCGTTTCAAAAAATAGTTGAGTACCTCCATAAAGTGAACGATCCCGATAGTGTTCATAATACGGAGATTTTTGCTGTGCTCAACAGCATTTTATTTCTCAGCTTCGTACTTTTGTATTTTTATACATTCTTCGAAATTTTAAAATGTTGATACTAAATTTGCTTGTTTGATTCCATTACGTACTTGAATTTCAAAATTATTTACTTTCTGGTCATCTTCATTATGTAACCAGGTAGATTCTTGCATTACTAAAGCGACGTGCAACACTTTATCTTAAATATCGAGTTAATGTGAACTAAGTCATTGGCAAATATATCTTCGATTTCTAAGTACTCTATGTTGTTCTTTTTGTTCCCGATTCTCAATCAAAATGAGCAGAGTAAATGAGCAGAACCGTATTGCGAAATATTCAGTTGTAATGAGATCTTCAATAATCTTATGAACATCGCTTTTTTGTCTTCAAAAATGAAATGGATTAGTGAGCAGAGCTGTGACCAGTAGTATTCATTCGTGACATTATATTGGATTATTTGATGAACTTCACTTGCTTGCCTTTGAAACAAGACTAATAGCTGAACAGAACTATACTGAGAAATATTCGATTGTTATCCCAGGTCGATCGTTCCGGTCATCGGATACTGTAGGAACCGGCCGGAAAGATGCGGGAAATCGCTGGAACGTTGAAGCAGTATTCCGGTCGGAAATTTTTCGGAGTTCTTTCCGATGATTTATTGTCAGTTCCTGCTGGACAGTACTGGAAGTTGGCCGGAATCCACCAGAAAAAAATCCTGGAATTTCTAGCCAGAATACTGCTTCCACTTTAGCGAATTCTCGTATTTTCCGGTCATTTCCCGCCGTACCGCCAACCCACGAAAAAGATTTTCATTGAAAACCGCTTCAGAGCGAGGGTTTTCATACCGAGGTTCATAACGGTATTAGCAAACCGCGAAAGTCAGACCGTTTATTAGATTTTTCAAAAACTTGCATAACCGTGGTTTTCAAAATTAGACGGTTAGCACCGGTTTCCGAAAACCGAATAAACGGTCTGACTTTCGCGGTGAAATGAAACCGCTGAGAGTCACGACTTCTTACAAAGCGTGGTGTTTGCCGATTAATATTTATCAAAGTTTTAAAGCAATTGCAACCTAATAACAATCTTCCACTTTCATCCTCCACTATAAGATTTTCGAGCACACATGGCGACCGAAATTCCTGTTCGCGCGGATGTTCAGTTGCTACTTCGTGGAAGTAACAGGCAAAGTGTTAAAAATACCCTCAGAGGGGGTCATAATACATGTTACATATGCGATCTGTTCTACCAGACACCGCTGCTCGCCTCTCAAGTCTTCCACAAAGCACACACACTAATAGTTCACAAGGTTATACTAGTGATTATTTTATTGAACTTGAGCGATAATCTTAGCGCATGACATCATTTTTGTCTTTGCACATATAGCAACAAAGAACGGTACAGGAAGAAAGAAACCGCGGTTTTCATTGAATCTGATGCACCGCGCGGTGGACAATATACACCGCGGTACAGTGAAGGAATTTTTTCAGCTTTCTCTTTGTATTACTGTGTGACAGAGATGGACAAGTCAGCGTTTTTTCGACTCAAGTCAAGTCAAGTCAGTTTCTGAAAATTTCAAGTCAAGCCAAGTCAAGTCAGACTTGACTTGACTTGCCCATCTCTGCTGTGTGATTATTGACTCTATCATATTAGTCATATTAGGATATGTCTGATAGGTTTTTTTTATACATTTCATAAATCAGTTACATATGTCTGTGAAATCAATCTCTTAGAATACAAGTCACCTCTAACAGCAAATCAATTTCAATCATTAAAACAGCCCCCATATTCTCTTTCACGTTAAAAATTTTCAATCTATTATTGAAATAGCTTCATATAAAACCAGCAGCATCTGCGATAGCCGTATTCAAAAATATGTATGAAGAACATCAACAAATGAAAAACATTTCTGTCTAGCTATAGTTGCCCAATATCAAGACTCCTTCTGAACTCATATTCACGGATGATACTGTTGTGGATGGTGTCTAAAGAGGGGCTTAGCACATGAAGGGTTTGCACAAGTTTCGCCGCTAGCGATGTATCCTGCTAACACCGCGGTTTATGACATCAATGGTATAGATTGGTTCCGTACACCGCGATCAATGACGCTTATAACGCGGGATATCGAATGACTGGTTGTCTTGGGTTCCGCAGACCGCGGTTGATAATGCAAACACCGCAGCTTTCTGTGACCGCAGGTACAGAAAACCGCTAGAAGACGCGGTTTCCAAAAATCAACCGCAGTATTGAATATGAATCCCGCGGTGTGGTAGAAAAACCGCGGTATGAAGCGATTTTCCTTGAATTATTTTTACGTGGGTATCAGAAGACAATTTTTTCTTTTCTTTTAGCACAAATTGCTTCGTGCGTCTTTATTTAATAAAGAAAAACACTTTTCTTTACAAAAAAAAGTTATGAACATGGTGGTGATGATGGCCGTTTCTGAGCCATCCGGTCAGCTAATGTTTGCAGACGGGCTCGCATCTCGGGTGTTACAACATCCGGAAATACAGATAATAGTGCTTCTAAAGCACTGATGTGTCGTTCCATTTCGGTGGCTGGTGAAACATATGTAGGTGGTTGTGGCGATGGAACCTCGACGGTGGGGTCGACTTTGATCGGGCTCTAAAAAGAAAAGAAAATATTAAAGAAATTTAAAGAAAAGAGATGGACTGAGTTTCATTAACCTCTGGACGATATTTGCGCGAGTTACACATGTAAAAAAAACTACAGATCTCAGCTCCTTTTTTTTCCTTCTATAGCAAAACGAACATACTATTCTTACTGTGCAAAGAAGCCGAGGTCAAGAAGAAAAAAAAGAATGAGGAAATTATTCGCTATCGAGACATCAGAACGAGTAGAGAAAAAAAACTTGATGATCAATGAGATGAAATTTCTTGTTTTTTGGCTGTTCTGATTGGTTAGCTGCTTATGTACGAGTGAGAGGAAGAGAAAACGTGTTCTTTTTTTTCTGTTAACTATATGACATTCTCATTTGTTTTACATATAGTGCAACAGTTTTCATAGATAGCAAGTGTTCTATTTCTACACCCGATACACATAGAAATAGTTGACTGTCAATGATTTATATATGGAAGCATATGATGAAATTTGGCGAAGATTTCTTTATTGAACTAAACCGAAAAAAAATACTCCCAACGATATTTATTAGTAATATCAGCTAAAATCGACACTTCATATTAGCAAGTATCAAAATGATTGCTTGAAATTCATATTATTATTTCTTTACATCGATGCATATCACTTTCATTTTATACAGATATCTAGGAAAAAGAATATAAGAGAAATTGTCATTGTGTTGCTTGTTTGATCAATATTCGATAGGTATAAATCGAACGATCTACGTTGGGGCATAGAAACGTGCCCAACGAACTCATATATCGGCATAAGCAGCGTTACAGAATTTCAGTTTTTTCACTTTATAACATTCGTATCATCTCGATCATAAGTGTAAATTCGATGAAACTTGTACCATAAATGAAGACTGTTCAGAACTACTATCAATATAAATTTCATTGGGTTTTCTTTAACCAGTTGGTAGTAATTGGAAAAAATATCGACCGTTACGGAATTTCAAAAATGGAAACTTTTTTAAGGTGTACTGAAAGTATAGCACTTTGCTACAAAACTCAGTCATAAAGAAGCGAATGTTGCATATATATTTTGTTCAGTTTTGTATAAGTTTTCAAAGTATTAAGTCATTTCTTCACATCAGCAGCCGTGTTAAATAGGAAGTGAAAAATATCAACCGTTACAGAATTTCATGCTTTTCTCCCCTTCGAATGAGGGTAGTTTGATGCCTCGAAAGAAAAGATAATACAGGGAAAGTTTTTATTATCAGTACAAAGAAATGACAAGAAGCATTTTTTCTACAAGACGATTGATTCTTTTTGCTTTTCCGCTAGAAATTTCATTTGAAATAAAATTCGCATTTTTGGCGAAAACGCAAAATTCTAAAAAAAATAGTAAAATTCGACTATCTCTTCATTTTTAATTTATCAAATGCAGAAAAGCGAAACTAATGTCAGTCCGTCGATGAGAGCTGGCACTATACTACATATCTCATAAGATTTTGAAACTGGACTCTAGCTTACAGAGAAAATATTTTAGAAACTATGCTTTGAGACCCTCCTCATAACTGGATGGCCACTGGCTGGCTTTGCCCATATCTAAATCATCGTCGAGATTGTCTTCATCGCCAAGTAAATCATCATAAATAAGTCTATCATCGGGCAATGGAAGATTAGCTGTATCAGTCGTTGCCCAATCTGATAGTAAACTATTTGAATGTGTGATAGTCATATGCTATGAATTTGTATTTGTCAATGGCGATGGATTTTGTTGCTGTTCATAATTGTCGGCCGATGAATTCGATGATTGTTGAGTTTCTGTGTCAATTAACGTTGCTGGAGATTCAACAGTAGTAGCAGCCGATGATGAAGATGCTTGATATTGAAGATTAAGTACTGGTTTAATTTGTATTGAATTCTCATCAGTTGGTAATAACATTATAGTTTGTTCGGACTCTGTCTGATTTGTATCCGATATCGATGGAATTGTTACTGTTGTTGACGAAATAGAAGAACACGAAGGTGCAACTTGATCTGCTGTTATATTATTCGATGATGTTGTAACGAAGAACGCTGCTAATTCTTGTGAAATTACAAAATCATCAGGTGGTGTTAAAGAAGCTAATTAATTTTTAAGATCATTTGTATGGCGTACAAATGAAGCAACATGTTGACTTATTGATGAACTAATACGCTTCTCCATTGATAATGTTTCTTGTAATTCGTGTATCCATGATTCGCATGGATCAATTATTCTATCTAGGCGAAAACAAAAACATATTCGTATTTTTATTTTCACCTATATACTTCGTTTTAAAAAGAAATGTCGTCGTATAAAATCAGAAAAGCAAACGGGAGGATTTCGCAATTGTTCAAGCACTGCCCATTAGACTGTTGCTTATCGAATGCTAGCATCATATTCTAGCGATTGAGCAGTACCTGTTGCTGTGCCACGTGTACATTCATAGCCAGGTTCATTAAAATATGGTTCAGGTACAAATATAAGAAATTGTATAGATACAAGAACCTAAAAGTTACTCAGTAAAAATATTTGAAGGAGTCATTTGCCCTTAAACTACGTTCTAATTTCAGCCATTTAAAAGTCAATATTCGTAATATAGAATAAGCAGTTTATTCCTCGGACTCATATCTATTTCTTCACAACAAGTTTACGTAACGTAAAATATTATTCTATAGGTAAAGCGCTCATTCTGAATTTAGCTTGAAACAATTTATCAAGTAGCACTAAGAGAAATCATTCGAGTCTACTATGTTGTGCTGTCAGTGTATGTAAGTCTCTCTGGCTGTATAGCCCAAAAACGTCGTCGCACTTCACTGCGAGTGCAAATTGTGAAGTACAAGCTAGACTTCAAGTATGTCACAGATCGATTTCTCTTCATCATCGTTGTTATTCTAGACAAAAACAACTATTTAAGAATTTCTCAATTACTTGTAAAAACATCGATGTTGCATTCCATTTTTCTTTGGGTCTTCTATGCCATGTATTCAATATGCTTAAACAAACTTATCCATCATTATATAAATTAGGATTAAATCGAACTGTATGATTTCCTGTTGTTTCTAAATTAATCGACGATGGCGTTGTTGGATATTCATTTGGGAAATAGACATCAAATATAAAGCATCCATTTGAATATGGCGTTCTGTCAGGACCCGTGATCAAAATTTCCATACGATTTTCATCGGAACGAACGAATATCGTTGAACTATATGACAATGGTAATGATATTGATATGGTTATGGTTATTTGCTCTTGCGCCAAACGTTTTATTTGTTGCATTGAGTTTATTGCTAAGGCGTCACGTACAATGTCTTCATAATGATATTTTATTCCTTTATTAAATATAACATTTTTCCCGATTCGTTTCCAACTGTTATTGCATGAGTACTAAATTGTGGTTGTTTCATTGTTTATTTATGTGAAATAAATGAATGAGATTAAGTTCAATTGTATTTGAATGATTGAATATGAGATATTTATTTATTTTTAGACTGAGGAATTTTCAAGATTTAATAAAATTTATGAATTTAATCGTCAACTTTTTAGTCAACTAGTACAAATGATTTTTACGCAACGGATGAAGACAGTCACTAACGAGGGAACCGCCCGAAGTGATATGCCGCTTTTAAGCTCATATTTGTGGAACATATAGGGGACCTCTATACTAGAATAAATCCTGAAGGATTTGGGCCCATGCATATGTGGGGCTGAGTTATAACTGTTTTACTGGATTTTTGTCCTAGGGGACTGGTTTACCTGCAAAATAAAATCAATGAATTTCGACCTGAAATTTTCTCCATGAAAAGGTCTAAGAGCCACTAGAATACCCTGAAAGTTTCAGACAAAAAGAATGCATCCTTCTTAAGATATTGGATTTTCAAAAACCGGCTATTTCTCGAATAGAATTAGCAGAACCGGAATTTATTGTGAAGTNTATTTTAGTCTAGAGGTCCCCTATATGTCCCATAAATATGAGCTTAAAAGCGGCGAATCGCTTCGGGCGGTTCCCTCGTAAGTTAAACTAGATTATGTTCGAGTTTCACTCGAAGATGGAATACGATACGAAGCTCAAATTGGATCTACTACGAATGTAGACACTATGAAATTCTTCACTTCGAAACGTCTATTCATACTTAGCGATATATTCTTAAAGAACGATTTTGATTGAACATTCAATTATCTCTATGATATCAGCTGTTAGAAGATAGACTAGTGGGTAGAATTTGTTTATGATGGCTAGATCAACACCAAGTCTCACTAGATGAAATTGGTATGCTGAAAAATAAGATCCATATGTTACTATACCTACAAGAAATACGATACGGATATTTGGATGGGTACGCGACGGACTACATTAATGCTTTGTTTCGCATTGGATTAACTAATGCTGTGAAGAGTGAAAGTGATGGGGGCAATAGGAATTTCGAATAAATCCTACAGCTCATTACTCGTTCTCAGTCGTTTTCTTTTTTTGGGATGCAGTACCAAAACAAAACTCGTTCGAACGCTAATGAAACTATTGAGATAGATCTAATACTATCTTATTTCAAATCTTCCAATGATACCATTAAAAAATCGTGGAATTCGTCATTCACTTTTTCATTTTCAAAATTCAGAATGGTAAAAATAACATCATCAGAAAGAGTTATTGACTAGTACGTGTTTCAACAACTGCTTATGAATTATGAACCATAGATATGTGTTGTAGTGGAAATTAAAATTCAGTAGAATTTAAAATCCTACTAGTAGAAATTGAAATTTTAGTTTCTACTATAGGTAAAATTCAGTAGAATTTCAATTTCTACTAGTAGAATTTTAAATTCTACTGAATTTTAATTTCTACTGCGACATATGTTTAAAAATTCAATCGATATCCTTTTTTTAAAGAATAAGTTGATAAATGTAACAGAGTTCTCATGGCTATGAATTTCATTATAATCACTGGAAAATGATTGAAAATTGTGATGAGTTGTTCTTTTCAAATGCACATTGGAAAATGTGTACGCAATATCAGTTCTTACAATAATCTAACGAATAATTCTTCAGTTTAGTTCCTTCAGTTACGTTTGACAAGTCGTCATAACTGACTCGATAATCATCATGAGAGGAAATTAGAAAAGAATAATTCTGTTGAGAACAATCGTGACATCCATTTATAAGATAACTTTTTTCACTATCTGTGAATCTACTCGATTATCAATAAGGTCCAATAGAACACCTAAAAGTTTTAGTAACTTTTTAATGTTATCAGTGTAGAGTGATCCTGCTGTTTCAGTTATTTTCGAAGAAATCGGGTTGTTAGCTTTGCACTGCATTTCGTATTTGAGTGAAAAATCGGATTCCATCTAATTTGTATAGCAACCTGTTGAATCGAAATCATTATTGCGCGTTTTCAAATGTGATTTTGTTTTATATATTATTATTATTCTCGATTGCATGACATTGATACGTTCGTTTACTTTTGTTATTTTAGCCAATGAAGCGATGCAATTCATTTCATTCTCGAATACAATACTTTGATAGTCGACATTGTAATACATGCCATTCCTTTATGGGTTCATGTATTTGTCATAAAAAAGATGAATATTTTTCAATGAATGATCTCAATGGCATCGATAAATATTATTCATTAATGTCAAAACGAAAAGCAAACATACTGATATGGCTTATCGATTCAAAAGGTCCATGGGAAACACCTGAATCGTTTCTATGTTTTAAACAAAGTGTGACTAAATTTGATCCTGTCAAAGTATCGAACGAAGATGAGATAGAAATCCGGAAATCCAACTCGAAATCGATTATAAACAGAAGTTTGAAACATAAATCGAGTATGCATGTTGATCAAAAAGAAGCAATCATGAAGTCGAATTTTGTTTATGCAAATGTACCTGTTACTACTTCTACTGTTGTTAATTATGCACCTTTATTAGATTGTGCAAGTGATTGGTAATATTTTTGCTATTGTTTTATCAATAATTATGAATAAAAATGCAAAGTGAAAATACTTTTATTGTAAACAATAATTGCTAGTAAAACTATCGACTACAAAGAATACAATAATTAGTTCTTTACATCCTATTAAATTCTATTAGCATTGCATCAATCGTAACGATAGTACAGAAACCACTACGTTGAATCCCACCCAGGTCGAACAGTACGGTCCGTATACGGCCATTGACAGTTACTTTACGACTATTTTACGGGAGAAATTTTGCCGTAATATCTGGCGCAGTAATACGGACCGTATTATCATGAGAGTACGGAGCATAAACAGCCGTAAACCATGAAAATTCAGTCCGGTTTACGGTGTCGTATTACGGCGCCAGGTATTACGGGCAAATACGGCCTATTTATTGCCGTAAAGATACCGTTTTGACATCGTTTATCGTCGACAAATAGACCGTAAACGAGTCCGTTTGATCAACCTGGGCATGGATTCCACGTATGGAAAAAATAAAGAAATTTCTGCGTAATTACGTTGATTTGAAATAACCGAGAAATTTTTTCCTTTGGTTGGCGTATGCCAAGAGGCGTTTTACTGCATACTTTCCTCTGTTGAATGCATACTGGCTTTACTCTCATATTTGAGAAGCAAAGTCGTTTACCCACTTTCGTCAATAAACATCGCTGACAATTTCAGAAAGTGTCATTCTCGGAAGAAACACCCAACCCAAAATACGTTTTTACTGATACATCCGTGGCTTGATAAAGAAACAGTGCAAGCACACATTCAGCGTCATTTTTTTTTGTTGAAACGAAAGAAAGAACTAAAGGCAGTTAAAAATCGAATCTATATTGTGTTTGATTTCATTACATATGATGAAAGTACTACTCTTTAATGGAACGTCAATATGTATCAATTTCTTCTATTATTCTTCGTATTTCGGATTATCTGTCGATATGTCTCTAGTTTTTTTTATTATAAAATAAAAAGATGTTATATTCACAGCTGTACATATATATTGAACTTAATATTATATTTAGTTAATGAATAGTTTCTATCAAGCTTTAAGACGCTATTTCATGTTTCTGAAAAAACTCGTATGAGTATATAAAACAGAGTGATAATCATTTGTATTTGACAACAACTCGATTCAATAATATCCAATGTTTATTTTCATAGTAGAACAACTTTAAAGCGTAATTATTAATACTTTTCCTCAATCAACAAATAAAAGAGATTCTTTTGTATATTTATGAGCAAGTGAATAAGAAAAACACATAACATCACTAACGTGAGATATTTTCATTGATAAATTAATTTACAATGTTTATTTAATATGGAACAAAACAAAATGTTTTACAGAAAACAAAAAACCATAACGAGATCAATTTCAGATGTTTTACATATTGCCAGATCGTTTTCATCATCAATCAATGTAAAATCAAGATGAACATCTCAGGTCGATCAAAACGGACCACCGTAAACCAGCGTAACATTACCGTAAACGGTCGTTTTTGCATCGTATTCCGTCGTAATACGGCCGTTTTAAGCCGAATTAAGGCGTTTTAACAGGGGCAGTATTACGGCCATACACGGGCACCGTATATCAGCCGTAAAATCTCATAATGCCGGCGTAATATTATCGTATTCTATAAAACATACGGCCGTATTACTGCCCCTGTTATACGGGGAAAATACGGCACGTAAAACGGACCGTATTTGTATCGTATACGACCGTTTACTGATCGTTTTCTTCGATGGGGGATAATTATTCAACATTGCTATTATTCAACTCGATTAATGATAATGATCGAAGACGATTAAATTCATTTAGTGAAAATAATGAGAGAAATGATTGAATCTGGCTACATGTGCTTTCATTTGATAATTTAAAATAAATGATGTTTTGTTTTATTTCCGGATTTGATTGTATTATCTGACAAAAGTTATTAAATAAAGATTTTTTGTATTGTTCAAAGTTAAGATACACCCAGGTCGAGCATTACGGCCGTAATTAATCGTGTCGTAAACGGTTACTAACGACCGTAATGTCGTATACGATCGTTTATGGCACGATACAAAACGGCCGTAAATTATGGTCGAACGGTCGTGTACGACACAAGTTGATCGACCTGGATAGTGAAATATTTCGAATAAGTGAAGAAAAACGATAATTCAATTGAAGAAATGAATAAAATAAATCTGGTGCATTCAGATATTCAAAACATTCATTTAATACTTCATTTGGTATGAATTCAAATTTCATCTTAGAGAACATTTATTTTGTATGGAATGTGTGAGAGTTATTTACTTTTCTAGATTGGCTAGCTACATATGACATGTTCTTTGTTATACGTTTACTAATTCATACTATAGATGACATTGGTAAAAGAAGGAATGATAAAAAGAAATAATAGAATTTATTTTTCTAAACTATAGATAAATCATTTAATATGCTTGTCTATTTTGTTTGTTGGGATTATTTCATGAAGAAGAGAATAAATAAATGGTCAATTGCTTATATGATTATATACCGTACAAAACTATTTATACCTAAGGGGGAAAAGCGGATTCCGTCTATCCGGGATATGGTGACAATCCAGAGGATACGATGACGATCCATCCGATTCGTACGATACGCACGATACTCACGATACATTACAGATACCGAGGATACGAGTTCATTTCATCGAAAAATTCAAAAATAATAAGGATAAATGAATACGATTACAATGAGTCGTAGCTGGTGAAGAATTTCATTGGATTTGAAACAAATTTTTAATGTTTTTTTTTGTTATTTATTTCTGCCACGAGCAGATTTTTTCATAGAGTGAAATGGATTTAATATAAGAGAAATAGCAATTCTATTTGCACAGTGCCAGCTAGATCTACTTACTTTGCGTTCAATCGATCTAGGCGAAATATTTGACCGAGTTAATAGGTATAAAAGTCATCTCACACAAGTAAAGACTGAGCTTGTTTCCAATCGAAATTGTTTGACTTTGCTAACTTTCATATATGTATAGGAAACTAATTTTAAGGATGACGGTACATATTTTTTGAACAAATATCGTTCCGTTGTTAAGGTGCTTAAATGCTTTGAGAACCTAACTGCAAAAGGCTACTCGCTTTTTTTTTGAATATGTCTACATGCATTTCTCGACAACAATACATTTATTTACCTCGAAAATTTGAACCTACATGCAGGGTGTTCCATTTATTTTGAAACAATTCTCATAGCTTTATTCTTCCTCAGTGACTTATTCAGATCTCATGATTCTCATATTAATCTAACTCACTAAGACTGTACATGTTACCCATATCATCAGTGTTTGTATTGACGAATGCCTTGTGACAAAATACTGGATAATTTCGACAGGGTCATTTGGAGATTTTTGAGAAAAGCACACTTGTGGATACCACTGAAAGTGGAATTTTTTCGATTATTTCTTCATGCTATTTCCTGCCGGCCTCGGGCATATGTCACAGTTACATCTGCTGTTACTGTATCTATGCTGAAATTTTCAGCAATAAAGAGTGAGAATTCATAGAGAAATCGAGAGATATTTCTCGTGCATAGTTGAAGCGAACCTTGTTGTAAGGTTTATCCTACACTATTTCTGGTTTAACTCAGAACGTTACATGATGATCATAGACACCTAAGATATTCTCACATGTACGCAATTCTAAAATACAGTTAACTACCGTTTCAAACTTTTAATTATAACAGAGATGACAGCAGGATAAGACTTGCAATAAGTTTCGTTTCAACTATACATGAGAAACACTTCTCGATTTCTCTATGAACTCTCGCTCTTTATTGCTGAGACTTTCAGCATAGATACACTGACAGCGGATCCAGAAGAATGAATCCTATAGCCTAGGATCCGATGAGTTCCGATCGGTTCCTATTGGAATCCGACGGAGCTCTTCGGAAGCTACAAAGAAACTATCGGATTATCGTCGGATTCCTGGTTCCGGAATCGATATCGGATCCTAATATCGGAAACTAATAAAATCCGACAGTAACCGTCAATCGGAACCGGGATGCTTTGGATATCATTGGAAATACGACTGTCGGATTCGACATTGATTCCTCAACCAGGAATCCAACGGGATTTCGTCGGGTGGTAGGACTCTATAGAATCCAATGGGATTCGGTATCGGATTGATTCACCTGGGAACGTATCTGTGGTATATATCTGAGACCGGAAGATAATAGTATAGAGAAATAATTGAAAAAGGTTCATTCTCAAAAAGTGTAAAATGACCTTGTCGAAGCCGCCAAGTATTTTATCACAAGCCATTTACCTATACACAAACTGACGAAATTGATAACATGTATAGTCTTAGTGAGTTGAATTAATATGAGAATCATGAGATCTTAATAAGTCATTAAGGAAGAAAAACTCCATAGAAATTGTTTCAAAATAAATGGAACGCCCTGTATTAGAGATGTTTATTTCTTATGTGATCTTGAATCAGCTGATGAATATCGCTTTCTTGTCTGTAAAATAAAATGCAGAAGTGAACAGAACCCTAATCAGAAGTCTTCATTCGTGGTGTGATCTTGGGTCATCTGATGAATGGTCATTTCTTTCATTTGAAGTGAGTGCATTAAGTGTAACAATTCATTGGGATAGTTTTATTCGTATAATTCGTTTCATTTCTTTCATTGTTCGCAGACAGGTATTGATTTTATATAAGTTAATATTGGAATTTAATATGGCTGATTGATAATCATCTAGCAGAGCATCATCAACGTCTCTATTATGTTCATCTCTTTGCTTTAAACTAAAAAGAATATTAAAATGATAAGAATATATGAACAAAATATATTTATGCTCTTGTGAAACATGTAATTGAAAATAACTATGATAGCCATAACATCGATAGACGTTCGACAGCCTTTTGCTTTTGCTATTATTATATAAAAGTAAAAGCGCTAAGTGGGTGCACTGAAAAAGTATTGGTTTCAATGAAATTATAGAACTAAAAACTGATGTTTCTGACAATAATTTTTTAAAAATTGGATACCATGGGCCATTCTTCATTATGTTCTCTTTGAAAACCAATGCATATCATCAACGTTTGCATTCGGTCATGGTTTGAAATCAAACCAAGTAGAATAGATTTATGGGAAGTAGCTATGAAAAAAAGAGTAATGATAATAATTGTGAAGATTTTCGATGAAAATAATATAGCTGCAAAGAGTAATTTCTTGTTCCTGGGAAATTTTAAAAGACATCCCCATATCAATCAAAATCTAATACATTCATATCGATCACATTGTCCTTTTCTCCACTGATCAGAGCCTATCGGCAGAAATGTCTAATGAACATATTCTTTGTAAAATTACAGGGTCAAAGTTGTCCCTTTGAGGCATTGTTCCCTGCAAGAAAATATTGCTAAATGTGATAAATAATATAGGATTCCTGATCAAATCTCATTATTATGGACTTGGGATAAATTCATTTGTACATCCAAACTTTCACTGAAGCAATAAACTAATGTTCTCGATGATCATCAGTTGTTCAACAAAAATCTTCAATCCTGTATCTTTGCAACAGATGGATTATCTCATTCTAAAGCTAATGTAACAATTGTTCATACTATTTAGTTTTCTATTGAAAGAATTCCAAAGAGGAAAAGAATAATACACGTCTTTTCATTAATTCTTGCATGAAAATTACTCAATTATTGTTCAGCTAACTTGATCTCAATTATGATTATGTATTATTCATTGAAACATTTCAGTTGAAAATGTTAAACAGCATTCAGTATTAACTTCAAAAATTTATATTTATTTAGGTGTTCGTTTTTTTATTATTATACTTTAATCAATACAAAACTTCAGTTTTTTGATTATAGAAAAACTCATCGAATAGTCAATATTAAATACAATCGCTTAATAAAAGTTCTTTTATCAGTAAAGAAGATCAAAAAACTTCCGGACGCAATTCGTACGCCATCTTGTTACATTACTGCATAGCTGTGTTACAGAACGCGTCAGCTGATTTACGTTGTTGTTTTTTGTACGTTGTTTATGCGCGTGCGTGTTCTTCATCTTACAATTAGTACTATTATATTATTTATTTGACTATTAGTTATCGGTAAAAAATGGTATGGATCAAAGTTGTTCAACTAATTACACATATATTATATGTTGTCTAGTTATTGCTATTAATTTAGTTTATTTTATTATTATAACACTTAAACTATTTATACAGTATCAACGACGACCAGCAACAGGATATTATCAAAAAATGACAGATCAATCAAGTAAAACAACGACAACAGCACCATCACGTATTACAACATCAACCAGCAAGACTGGCTTAGAACGTCTAGCTCAACTGTATCCTCATGTAACTGAAGATACACCATTACCATCGAAATGGAATTCAAAAGAAAAAGCACCATCTTTAGCACTTCAACAGAATAATCTTGCTGTTGCATATAAAGGTAAAACGATGAATATAATTTAAAAATTTTCTATTCAATTTTTAATGTTAGGACCTGGAAAATCACATAAAGATGCAGCTAGTGTGCGTTCTGATCATCCTATTCCATCGCTTACTGGAATTTATTATTATGAAGTAAAAATACTAAGTAAAGGTCGTGATGGGTATGTACAAACTAATCTTAGTTTCCTAAATTAAATTTTCCATAATTTTAATATTTCTAATGTGTCTTAATGTTGAAATCATTTCTAGTCATTTATTTATCTATCTTTAGGTTTATGGGTGTCGGTCTATCAACGAGTGAAGTAAATCTTAATCGTTTACCAGGATGGGATAAAGGCTCCTATGGTTATCACGGTGATGATGGTCATTTATTTTGTTCAGCAGGCTCTGGCATTGCCTATGGGCCCACGTTTACAACCGGTGATTTTGTTGGTTGTTGTGTTAATTTTCTTGAAAATTCTTGTTTTTATACTCTTAACGGTTATAATATTGGTAGGCTTTTTTGTTTTTGTAATACATGTTATGTATATGTATGTCTCTTGATTTAGGTACTTCATTCAAAGACATACCGGTAATTTTAACACTATTAAATTATCTATTTTCTTTTGTGTGGAATTGACATAGAAAAAATGTAATGAATGAAAATTAGAAGATCGAAATTTGTAGTTGTTTCTTAGTCTATAGAAAATGAGCACTACAGATACTGTACAGATCAAAACTCATATTCACAAAACATTGTTTTGATTTTCCCGAGACATCGTATGGTCAACATAAAATACTTCACTATCACTATTTTTCAGCCGCATTCATTTTAATTGCAAAAGCAACTGCATTGACGATTCTTTGTTTTTAGGCGGAGGTCTATCCTACAGTAGGATTACAAACTCCCCTTGAAGCCATCGAAGCAAATTTTGGCCTTAGTCCATTTAAATTTGATATAGACAAGTACATGGATGTAAGTAAAACAATATAATAATTCAATTTGAAAGACAATATACTTTTTTTTAAAGGAATATCGAGATAAAACTCGTCGAGCAATAGTAGAGTGTACATTGAAAGAAGGCGAACTATTGCATCAAATTCAATTACGTCGTATTGTTTCAACATATCTCGTTCATTATGGTTATTGTGCTACAGCTGAACAATTTAATAAAAACGCTGAAAATGTCCATGCTGATGAACTTAATTCTATGCGTAATAGACAACGTAAGTAAAAGAATAATAATGTAAAAAATGATTTCCATATTTAATCATTTATGAAAATATTTTCCTTGTTTTAGTTATTCAAAATTTAATTCTCGAAGGTCATACAATGGATGCAATCGAAAAAACAAAAGAACTTTTCCCCACACTGCTCAATAATAAAAATCTTCTATTTGTACTCAAAGTTCGTCAATTTATTGAAATGATAAATGGAACTGACAGCGAAATTTCAAAACCGTCCACATCTTCTCAGACAAAAATTTCTTCATTATTAAATCATAAAAATCAATTGAACAGTTTATTAACCAATAGAAATGCATCGTCTACTATGACGACAACAACAGCAAATGATTGTCCATCAATACCTCTATCTAAATCGAATACATCTCTACGTTCTCGTTCCAATAGTCCATATAAATCTGAATCTAATCAAACAACGAATTCAGATGTACAACAACATAGTAATGCTACTAATAATGAATTATCTCAAGGTAAATTTATTCAATCAATTTTTTAATAAATTTTCTGTTTTTTGGATATGTTAGAAGCGTATACAACAGTAAATTCATTACCATCTCATCATATGGATGTGGATGACGAATTGAATGGTAATAGTATAACAAATGGTTTTAGCAATCACGAAACAGTATCCTCCAGTTCCTCCTCTTCTTGTTCTATAAATCAAATTTCTAATGGCCATTCACTATTAGATGATGACAGTAATAATTTGACTACTGATAAAACTTCAATCAGTAATGGATATTTAACAAAATCAACAGAAAATCTCGATACTATGGAATGTGATGGCATTAGTGAGTCAAATCATACAATGCATGTGGAAGATACTTCATCGGATGTACAGAAAAAAGATGATGAAATTCTTATTAAAATTCTTCAGTTTGGCAGAGAATTACATACACTCAAACAACAATTAAATATTGAATATGGAGAAAATCTACAACATGATAAAATACTACAGGTATTTTGAGATAAATTATATATTAATATAGATGGATACGATGAGACTAACTCTGAAGAAAATAAGAAGAAAAACGTACAATTATTTCACTGGCATGAATAATGCATTCTTGATATATTCCTATTGAAGGATTATAAATCATTGTCATACAAAAATCAAACATATCCGAATTGCAATAGTATCTATCACTGCCGTAACAAATTCTTTGAGTTCCGATTGTACTGATAGAAAACAAAACCTTGTAAAAGAATGTGCGAGTGAGATATTTTTGCACTTTGTACTTGAACTGAGCCATCTTCGGTTGAAACCGTCGGATCGTCATTAGGTTATTCGATTTTTCCCTACATACTTTAAATTGTATGTAAAATTCAGTATAAGGGGAAGTCTTTTCGGCTTTTTTCAATATCACATTAAATAGCGAGTTGATTTGCACCATTCATTTCGTTTTTATTGGTTATTTGAATTTGTTGCAGGATGCATTCAGTTTATTAGCATATCCTGATCCTAGAATATCGCCACTTGCTCAACTATTAGAACCATCGCAACGTGAATCTATTTCCAGTGTATTGAATAGTGCCATTCTTGGTAAATGATTTGATCTACTTTTATTTTTATTTTTAATAAATATTATTTTGCAGAAGCACACGACATGCCTAGACATCCGGCGCTCGAAGTACTTGTTGGCTATTTAAATGAATGTGACAAATTAATGCATAAGAACAATATACCGGATTGTGCCTTCATTGAATTGAACAAATATGTACGATAAAATAAAAAATATCTGTGTATAAAACATTGTCAATATGAGTTTTCTTTGTGTCTCTCATTTTTTTAAATTTTTATTTCGAAATGCATATATATATATTTGTTAGCAGCATTTCTATACTACAGGTTATTTGTCTTCGCGGTGTTTTTTTAAATCTATTACTATTTTCTGAACAGCACATTTCCTCACCTTCATCATTTAAACAAGAACGCAAAGAGAAATACGACCATCATATCAGGCATGAAATATATCCGTGTACAGTTCTTTTATTTTATCTGTGTTAGTTTGCCTATTGATTGGATATATATATATATATATATATCAGAAATGAGGTTGCTTTTGTTCTTTTCTTTCATTTGTGTATTATACAAGAACCTGTAATTTAAAAATCTCCTTATTATTTTTCTCGCTACTTTACTACGTGTTGCGACATTTTGTTTGTTTTTCTTTGCAACAGTCACATTAACGTGAATAATAAGTTACTTCAGAGTGCCTACTACCTTTGACTGAAATAAAACTCTTATTCCATATGAAGCTAAATTTTGATAGCATAGCGAGAGATAATACTTTTTTTTCAAATAACTTTTCAAGCTGTACAAAAGTCGATCGGCGTCTTAACTTTTGAACTGGTGGATTCATCTATAAATCTAAAATAATTATTAGACATGAATATTGTACTGCATGACAAAAAAGAAATCCATTTTCGCTCCTATACTTGAGAAAAATACGAATTACAGGCTTTCAAAAAAAAAATAAATAAACGAAGCTTAACAAAAGTGAGAAAATGAAAAAACTAACATTCCAAAGAGGCACCTATCGATATTTTAATTTTGTCTTTTTCAAGTTAAAATCCAACGAACTTAAATCAAGTTTGACGCATTTTTATATATTGTCCATATGACTGTGTTAGATTGAACATGAATGATGCGTAAGTAACACGCAAGTTTCTTATCTAAAAACTTTTCTATCTATCAAATCATCATTCATATATATATATATATCCAAAAAGACGCTCAGCACTTTGAAATAAAATCACTCTAATTTACCGAACGCAATAGATTTGCTTCATCATCTTGAAAAAGATAAGTGTAACAAACAGAAAATTATCTATACTGTCGCTGACTAGAGTAAGATGTTTTACTATTTGCTTTACAGTTTACCATCATGTCACGTTGCTTTCTTGACGCTTTTCCAGTCGAAATTTTATATGCAATTTTTAGTTATTTTCTTGCACATGAAATTCTTCTCACCTTTTCGAGTGCGTCTCCATTTGTCGACGCTGCATTAGTTACTTACTCGGACTATCGAATTGATTTTAAATCAATTCTCAAGCGTCATTTTGATCTTGTATGCCGGCGAATTCGTCCAGATCAAGTCGTTTCTCTTAAACTTTTCGATGACGATGATACGCCTTGTCAAATCAAAATTTTCCTTTCGCAATTTCAAATCGAGCAATTTACTCGTCTACGATCATTAACATTGCCTGATGTTCAAACCAGTTGGTTGCAACATATTCTTTCAAATTTAAACAAACTTGAACGTCTAAATTCGCTGAAATTAGTAAATACGCCATTTTCTGGTCGAATCTATGAACGTAGTGATTGTCTCATAAATTATACAGTAGAAAATCGCTTGAAGTGCATACCATTATCACACCTTCAACAATTAACAATCTCAAACTGTTCTTTTCATGACCTTGAAAATATTTTTACTCGAGCACTACAACTTAAGTCACTCAATATACAACTGACGGGTGCGGCTGCAAGCTTAAAATATTTTCCTGTTCTACCTCAATTGACAAGTCTCATGCTGAAAATTGACGACGAAAACAGCGCTTTTGTTCCAACTGGCAATAATTTGAGTAAGACGCGAACGATTCATAAACACATCGTATATATGTGATCTATTCTAGTCTTGTCAATGAATACGTTTGAATTCTTTCTCTCGAAATTACCTCGTCTTCGACATCTAGTATTAGATGGACAAGCTCATACGAGTATTATCGATGGACGCCGATGGGAAATTTTAGCGATGGATCTTCTTACGTTCAATTTCAATTTTAAACTTGAAATTAATCAAATCGAGCAAATTCTTGAAACTTTTCGTACTCCATTTTGGATTGAAAGAAAACGATGGTTTGTCGCCTATATACATGGTCGTCTTTTCTCGGTGCCACATTTTGTTGGCAGATGCATTACTCTTCCTTTTCATACACCTGTTCATTCGACCACACCCAATGATGAGCTATTTTATGAACATGTAGATAGCCTTGGACTGCCTAATGCTGAAATCGACGATGTACATCGTTTCGCTCATGTTACGACATTGAGATTGGAACTAGCAATTCGATTGACAACTATTCAAACTATGATTGATCTAAGTCGAGTACGAGAATTGATTCTCTACGGTCGTGAGAGTCTGTCGATTATTTTGCAAATTCCGACCGTCATGCCTCGGGTCGATAAAATATCGCTCTATTTTGGTATTTCTGAAAATATTAATAATGATCTTCGAAGAATCCGAGACATGCAACCGATTAAACAAGTTCGAACGCTTCAAATAATTGGTAGTAAGTACATGTCACATGTCAGAAATATGTCTTCTATTAAAGAACTATGCCGTATATTTACGCATGTGAAACAATTACATGTATTCGATCAGACGTCGATTAGACACATTGGCTGTTGGATAGATGGATTCAAATACCTGTCCAATGCATCTTTTTACTTATCTCTTTCGATGAATGAAACTATAAATCATCGATTAATGCGTAAACCAAATATGCTAGTGAATGGTTCATGCTCTTTAGCGAATGGTACATTTGAATGTCGAATTATTGACTTGGGTGAAAGAAAGGCATATTGTAGTATTTGGATCGGGGATCAGGCAAGTCTTTCCCAATACTAACAACTATTCTTATTTCTTTTTATGATCTTGAATGACTTCTAATAGCCGGCGCAATCAATTTATTATATTCCTCGACTACCACGTCTAGCATATTTGTTGTATCGATTACAACATGTTTTTTATCGCACCGTGATTAATCAATTCACAGGACTGCTTTTTGTTGGCGTGGCTTCAGAAGTAACCCGCAAGACAATTAACTTGGTTTGCCCGTTTCTCTCCTGTACATTTAATACTCGCCAATTCAACAGTTGGTTGGGCTTTTTGCATACTGCCTATTTCATGTGTCATTATCTTTTTATGCAACTGATTACGGAGTTTAACGTCCAATGCACTGACAGTATTATCTGCATAGTCTACTATTGTCTTGCAAGTCTTGTAATATTTATTTACAGCTCAATGTTCAGTGTTTTCTCTAACAATGCCATTGATATTAAATTCATAGTGGTGTTTATTGATGTTGGCTGGCCAGCCACACTCTCTACATATTTATCGGCTGCACTTCTATGTCTCATTCTCATTCTATCCAAACGAAGCTTAGTCTTTTTGTAGAACGATTATCTAAATAAATCTATTGATGAAAGCACTTTTTCAAGTGTTAATCGCGAATTCGAACGAGAGATGATAAACCTGCCGATAGAGCTCTATGAGCTGGTCACAGTGGTGGTCGACGTTTTCCATCGTAGGAGTTTCTTACGGAATTTTAGATTATATTCACCCAACAGAACACGAGACACATGAATAGGCTGAGCTTGTTTATTAGGACGTATTTCACGAGACGTACATATTTTTATTGGTGGAAATGATAACTGCAGAAAAAAATGTTCGGAGCAAAGACTACGGTGATGATGGCTATAGAAAATAAACGCATAGTCATTATAGTTATTTGTTGGATATTGATCTACATTGATACTCAAACAAATCTATTTCAAATAAAAAAATGACTTCTAGTTTAGCTGAAAATAACAGCAAGCCCTCCACGAATTAGAAGTTATTGACATAAGAATCTCAGCAGAAATATTGCTATCGTCTATCATTTATTTTTTTTGAAACCGGTACGATCGTGTCCTGCCATATGTTTGGTTGATTAGACTTGTATATTGATACAATTAATCTGACTTTTTTTGTAACAATTAGTAGGACAAAAATATTTTTCCCTCGGCATTTAAACTATCATCGCATAGATATATTCTCTACAAGCATGCTCATAGTATGAAGCTTTAATGAAAATATTTCAAATATTAATCTGAAGTCTCCCTCCTCGAGACTTATTATAGTAATTGATTTTTAATTATTTATGAATGGAAAATCAAATGTCAACTGATTATTGGTGTCTACGAAGCGTGTCAATGTAATTTTGAACATTTTGTACTCGGTCGTCACTCGAACCGAAAGCAGAACGAGCATGAAAAAGAGAACGTTCAGCATGTTTAACAGCGACATCATAATTTCGAAGATCTTCACATGTTCGTGCTGTATTGAAATAAATTACATACATTTGCGAGTGATTTGGAGATGATAGGGATTCTTGAATTTTGAGAGATTTTTCATAAAATACAACAGCATCTTTTTTCTTATCCATAGATGAATAAATAGCAGCCATACTGCTATATATGGAAGCTAATGTTGAATCGTTCGGAGAAGATATGTTTTCTCGAATAGCCGCAGCTTTTTGATAGAATTCCAAAGCATTATTTTTTTCTTCCATGGAATTATAGGATACAGCAGTGTTATTGTAAATAGTTCCTAGGGCGGCATCATCTGATGAAAGTGTTTGTTGCATTATTGTCAAAGCTTTTCGATAAAAGGTCACAGCATCCGAATAATTTTTCATTGAATGATGTATCGCTGCAATACTTTGGTACGATGCAGCTAATGCTGGATCATTCTGCGGAAGAGTTTTTTCTCTAATAGCAAGTGCTTTTCGATGGAATATTAGAGCATTTTGTTGATCTGCAGTACAATCATAAGCAATGGCAATATTATTGTAAGTTGTTCCTAAAGATGAATCATCTGAAGGAAGCGTTATTTCTTCAATTGCTATCGCTTTCTTATAATAGTCGATAGCCTTCGAGTAATCTTTCTCCGAATGATAAATGAATGCCATGCTTTTATAGGTTCCTGCTAGCGAAGAACGATTGTCACCGGTTTGGACTTTTTCTAGAATATGAAGTGCTTTTTTATAATATTCGAGAGCATGTTCATTGTTTTCCAAGCATCTATAGGCAATAGCAATATTGTTAAAACTTGTTCCTATAGATGAATCGCTGTTTGGCACTTTACTTTCTTCTTCTACAATTGATTTTTTGTAATAAATGATTGTCTGTTCGTAATTTTCCATTGAATGATAAATTGATGCAATACTACTATAAATGTTAGCTACTGATAAATTGGTCGTATTTGGATTCTTGTCAAAAATAAAAAGTGTCTTCTGATAAAATCTTAGAGCATTTGCATTTTCTCCCATAGATTTATAGGCCACGGCAATATTATTGTACGTAATTGCTAATGTAGATTGTTCCTTAGGAGGATAGTTTTCACGAATTGCGCATGCTTTTTCATAATATAAAACAGCATTTTTATAGTCATTCATCTCGTAATACGTTAGACCAATATTAAAATAGCTGTTAGCTAATTCATGCTGATCCGGTGAGGATAAGTTTTCTTGTATAGTTGATGCTTTTTTAAATGATGAAATAGCTTCTAAATACTTTTTCATTCGGTTATATGTAAGTCCCATATTATTATATGTTGTTGCTATTGATTTATCTTTCGTTGGTTTGACATTTTGTTGAATTTCAAGTGTTTTTTCATAGTATGACAATGCAGTTGCATAATCTTTCTTTGCATTATAAATTAAACCGATGTTATTATAAGTTGTAGATAAAGACGATTCGTTTTTTGTAGATAATTTAAGTAGAAGATCAAGAGCTTTTTGACAATATTTAAGTGCATTTGTCTCGTCTTCCATTGCATGATATGTTAAACCAATATTATTGTAAGTATTAGCTAAATTTGGATGATTAAGTGAGAGATATTTTCGTTGAATTTCAAGTGCTTTCTCATAATAAGTAAGTGCCTTTGATTTTTCGCCCATGGAACTATACATTGTACCAAGATTATTATAACTATAGGCCATATCAGGATGATTTTCACCGAGAGAATTTCGACGAATATCAAAAACTTTTTGATAATAATTGAGTGCTTGTGCTTCGTCACCCATTGACTTATAGATGAAACCCATATTGTCGTATACTTGAGCAAAACTAATATGAACTTCTGTAAAAGAATGTTTTAGAATTTCAACGGAGTCCTGAAAAAATGATAATGCACTTTTATAATCTCCCATTGAACTATGCACAGAACCAATATTATTATAGCTCATAGCTGTGTTGGAATGGTACGGAGGAAGCCCTCTTTTTCGAATGTCTAACGATTTTTCATGATATTCAAGTGCTTTTTGGTGATCACCCAATGAATTATATATTGTACCAATATTGCCATAACTAGTCGCCAGATCTGTGTGTCCAGAAGGTAGAATGTTTTCTTGAAGTTCAAGAGTTTTTTGATAATATGAAAGTGCAGTTTGATCATCGCCCAATGAACTGTGCGCTGATCCGATATTATTATAGATAATACCGAAATCCGGATGATTGACAGGAAGAGATTTCTCTCTTATCGTAAGTGTTTTCATGTAGTAATCAAGTGCAGCTGCATAATCACCCAAGGAACTATGAACAGATCCCAAATTATTGTAGGTAGTCGCTATTAACGGATGATCAGATGAATGAGACGTTATTTCGATCTCAAGTGCTTTTTTATAATAAGATAGAGCAGCTGTATTGTCGCCCATCGAATGATATTCACTAGCAATATTATTGTACGTAGGTGCCAATGAAGAGTCATCTTCAGGTAGATGGGCTAATTCCATTTCGAGCGCCTTATTGTAATATGCTAATGCAGTTGTATGTTCACCCTTGTGACCATAAACATATCCAAGTTGATGATTAAGATGAGCCTGTTTACGCCAAGTTTTTTTGCCCGCCCTATTGAGTTGTATATCGAAAATTTCTTCAGCTTGATTGAATTCCCCCAATCTTAACATCAAATGTCCTAATCGATCCAAAGCAGTGCCTTCTCCAAACTCTTTTCTAAAATGATCGGTCAAATTTTTCAATACTTGATCATTATCACTGGTTAGATCTAACACAACACACCAATATTGATCTTGAATATGTTGAATATCCGTAACACGAAAAACTGTATGCATAGAAAAAAGAATTTCATTTTCGTATTCAAAAGAGCTTTTGTCTGCTAGATAAGCAAATGGAACGGATGATATCGCTGGATCAATGTTCAGTGTAAAGAGTACGCCGTTAACTTTTGGATTTTCTGCTGCACGTGTCGCAAATTGTACTGAAATATTGACGTCAATACTTGTTGATAGAAAATTATTGAATGAGAGAAGACCACCAATGCTATTTTTCAACTGATCAAAATCATCTTTTAAAATACCTTGGCCACGATATACCGTTATTTGTCGATGTTGACTCTTTTGTTCCTTATAACATTCTTCAATTTGTTTATGAAGATCACTTATGAAGAATCCCATTTTCATAATAGCTTCAATATCTTGAGATCTTAAAGCACGATTCATCATGGAATAGAGGAAAGATTCTTTCGTATACCATTGTATAGCTAAATGATTATTATATTCGGCAGAAAAATCATCGATCAAACCTAACTGATAATCATTATCCGCATATTGATTACGACAATATTCAACAAGAGTAGTTTTTGCTTCATAACCATGTTCCATATCCAGTAGAATTTCTTTCAGTAATTGTGTATACATAAATGTTTTGTCTAATGCATTGGATCCATCAGTTTTTATTTCAATATCTTTCTTTGGTAGAATACTAATCGAAGTTAAACTACCTATTTGTCCACTATCGATTTTAATCCCGAGGAAGATTTGTTCCATATCATGAAAAATACCTTTTATTTTTTTTGCCCATTTATTAGCCCAGCTAATTCGAAAATGTTTTTCTGGATTGAAGATATAAATATATTCAAGTTGTAGTTTATCGAAAACTAACGGTACGAGTTGTTCACCAATTCTATCCGAAACAATAAGAACAATTGTCTTATCGTTAATAGTTTCAAGACAATTGATGCATCCGTCGGCATCAGTAAATTTATATAGTAAATTTGTAATACGTTGAAGTTTAGTAATTGAATCTTGATATAGTTTTTCATTCTTATCTAGTTGAGGATCGACCCAAATGATAACTAAATTTTGATTTACATCAGATTGCGAATATATTGACGGATTAGCCGATTTTTTCCCTCCGGTGGATAGTTTTGCGGTTGCTGCGCTGCTTGCACTTGTTATTCTTTTTGCTGCATTATTTGTTGATACGGCTGAAGATATTCTCGATTGTTTACTTGCTTGAGATGCAGTACTTCTTATGCTCTTAGTTGTACTACGTTGAGATTCTGCTGACGGTACTCTTCGTTGTTTATTGGATGAAGGTGTTGCGCTTGGTTCTCTTTCGGTCACAATGTTTTGCGATGAAGAAGGGGGCATTTTCTCTAGCGAGTTATTGGTGTCACTTTGAGAGGCTATAGAATTAGCTACAGTTGCAGAAGTCGATGATGCTCCGCAACCCATGGTTAATAGAACTCTCTTCTTTTGACGATAGTTTTGAATGTATGAAAAATTTCTTTCGAATGTTGGAAGTTTGCACTGAATCACAATTTGTTGTTTTGTTGAAAAACTTCTTTCGTTCGTGCTATGATAGGGTTCTCCTTCTGTTGACATTGTAACGAGAAAGAAAAACTGCTTACAACAAAGCAACTATGTTGGAAAAAAAACATACATTTTATATTCTCTATGAGGAAGAATGAGAATGGATGTACAACAAGGAGAAAAACAGAGACTCAGTCTAATCCAAAACAAAATTGGAGTATAGTAGTAGTGGTAGGTACTCCAAGATACTCCTTCGTGTCCTCTACCGATCTGCATCAGCTCAGATGGTCCTATTGTGAGCATCTTCATATCCTTTTCGAGAACTATCTATGATTCAAACAAGTGAAAATGCACCCCATTCTCAATCGTATACTTCACTAATCGTCTTATCATCGCATTTAGTAATCAGAATTACAAGGCGTACAATAAAAACCATTGCCATTTCTTTTTATTTATCTCAAAAAGTCCCATTTTAAAATAAAACAAAAATCCATCAATTGAATAATAAAGAGAAAATAAAATAATAAGAGATTATGCAGCTTGTTCGCCAGTAAACCAATCAGGTACAATTCCATTCTCTAGATATTTTTCGCGTATAATTGATTGAGATTCAAGTGTATCAAGTGAACCTAAGATCGAGCCTAAACATAAACGAATAAAAATCTAGAACTTATTTCGACTGCTAAAATCTACCTCCGAGCCAAGCAGTAAAGTTTAGATTTGCTGGTGGAGAATGAAAATGAAATTGTTTTATTGCTAATTTATTTACATATGTTGCAATATTGACAAGATGATTTAATTCAGCATTGAGTCGATGTAGAAATCCAGGCATCATTGCTGTACCACCAATAACAAGAATATTATCGGCAAATTGTCGACGAAGATCAAGTGACGACTATGACAAATAACAGAAAACCACCAACATTATTCTTATGATTCAATACTCCTCAGTAATTCATACTTCAAGTAGACTATCGAGTATTAATGTTGCAACAGATTTTCCGTCGATATCTTGTTCAAATAGAACTTCACATGCGAATTCTCTGTATATAGATGCGAATATTAGTATTTGATTAGAAATAAAAATTCATTTACCTAACAATGCCTGGAATATGTATAATTGTTTCTGCGCCCAATGGATAATCAACTGATGACGCTTCTTTAATTGGTTCATCTGAACCTAATTTGCTTTTAGCGTAGATTTGTGCTCGAGGAAATGGTGAGATAAAACAACAGCGAACTAAAAACGAGCTTTCATTTTTTTTTCTTATTTCGAGTAATGGACAAGGAAACCTTTGATATCTTCCAAAACATCTTCGGGCAATGTGATATTAGCTTCGTTGAATGGCTGTTTTTGACCTTGTTGAATAACTAAAGCATGTTGTCGAAGTAATAATTCAATTTGTCTAAAAACAGAAAATAAGCCAAACAGTAAAAACAGAAACATCTTTTCGTAAAATCTCGACCGGATTAAAATCTGAACCACCATTTAGCTGTTATTGATTAATTACGAAAAGCTTTTTTTACATTCGAATTATTTGAGGATACATAGGCAGATAAACATACATAACCTTGATCTCTTAACAAACTATCATGTAAAATCGAAATATGAAAATATACTAATCGGTATACGTTAATAGTCCTTGTTTAGAATGTGCTTCATAAGAGTTATTTCGAAAAGTTGAATGCAAACCAAACGAAATCTAGTATGTATTAGGAATCATAGACCGAAACGAGCCAAAAAACATCCGACTCGACTCAACTCAAACAGCGAATTTTCAAAAAGTAGATTTTTTCAACAATAATAATAGTTGACAATAGCAGGGTTTTTCAACAACAACAAGAATCATATATATCCGTGATCGGTCCACCCGGCCAATTCATTATTGTGTGACAAATTGGTGAATAGAACCTGATGTATTCGGTTTCGGTCTATGTTAGGTATCCATATACAGCCACCTAGAATATCGAGTCATAAAAGTAGATGTCAGACTGTCTCCTTATTTTACTTTGTTTCAAGATAAATTCATACTCAAATGTCTACAAGAACCAATTATTTTAATTTTAATTATAATCTACTTTAGTTCTTACTTATGAATAGCTTGGCCAGCATATGGTAAACTCTCAAATTGAACTGCTAATGGTACACCTTCAGCTACAGGCATAATTTGAGCTTCTTTATAGCCAACATCAAGAACGAGTGCTGTGCTTCGACCTAATGTATACGTAGCACCGAGATGTGATGGAACAAATGCTAGAGATGATGCCTATGAAAACAAACGTTTGTAACAGTATTAATGATTCATTATATAAACACACTTCAAATTGTTTTAATAGAATTTCCGCTAATAAATGTCGGAAACTTGTCGGTGAAATAACTGATTCAATAATTACAACACGTCGTTCTCGACAGTTTGCGATATTATATCTAAATGGCACAAGAAGAAAAACATTTTTTCCCATCTAACATTCAAAACTTCCATACTTATAATATATTAATCGTATAAATTCAGTAAGACGCTCACGTAAACTGGTTAGATCAGAACTATCATCAAAAACACGTTGTGTCTAAATCAATAACAATAGAATTACAAATAAAATCATGCGATCAATACATTGCCATTGATTGTAACCGTCGTTGGAATGATATGACGCGGTGCAGAATTACCAGCAGATCCACATCTAAATTAAGAATATGCGGATTTCAATGAATTATTTATATTCGAAAATTCTTGCTAAAACAAAATTACTGCGCGCAGAGTTATTAATTGAAATTTTTGCTTATATATTTCTAGTCGACTTACTTTGTATACGCGTGTCCAATATCGATAATCACTGCTGTTTTTTCATTAGCTGCAAGACTATCAATAAATGACGTCATTTAAAAGAATCAATCTAAAAATAGAACAACAGTGGCATGCAGTTCAATCTAGACATTAGAAAAGAATATATATCCTATATGACTTATGTATACTTAGTTAAGATTTCATGCATATGAAAGCGTATCGCGAATATTTTCAATTTTCTATCGATCAATAACGATTCAAAATAGCGAACTGTTTTCAAAGTCTGAAACGTCTCTTTCACCTCAAACATAAATATAATAAATCAAGCAAATAAAGAAATATTCAATCACCTTTCATATAGTTCTCTAAATTCAAATGAATATGTAAGATCTTTTCAATCAACATAAAAGGCGAATCTTATCAAATACTTTAACATACTATAAATGATTTTCTTTCTTTCTCTGGAGCATTTTTCTATTTCAAAACTGGAATAAAATTAATTTAAAAAGCTAGTTTGTTTTTCTTTCACAAAACATGTTTGTATATTTCGATAAGATTTTAGAAATCAAAATAACAAACAAACACTATGAAATTGTTTTTTTTCTTTAATTTTATTTTTGTTGTTGTCGATGCGATGGTTATATTTGTTTGTTTGTCTTAAGCAACGGATTGAGCATTAGCGGCGATACGTGGCCATAAGTCAGCACATTCCTTGGCTACTGGTCCCGTTATTGCTGAACCTTTCATTTCACCTTTGTTATTGACAATAACTCCGGCATTATCTTCAAAATAGATAAATGTACCGTCCTTTCGGCGAAATGGTTTGCGTTGACGGATAACGACGGCGGGCATAACTTTTTTACGTAGATCTGGTTTGCCTTTCTTCACAGTTGCTAAAAAACAAAACAAAAAGATACATAATATATATTTTAATATTTGAAACAATAGTTCGAACCCTATTTAAACTATATAATATTCTAAGTTATTTAGGAATCAAATTTAAGGCCTGAAACTCTTCATTCCCTTCGAAATGTCTATAGAAACTTTTATCTTTTCAGATTATGCATTTGAAAATTTTCCTAGCATGGACAAGCAAATTATTCTCTCTAAAAATTGCAGGCGTATCATAGATTACTATACTGTATGTTGTTTTTTCATGGAAAACCTTAGCATAAGGTATGTAGAGAAATCTTGATCGTATATGTGGAAAACTTACAAATAATCATATCACCAACACAGGCAGCTGGTAAACGATTGAGTCGTGCACCAAAGCCTTTGACTGAAATGACGTATAAATTTTTGGCACCAGTATTATCGGCACAATTGATTACTGCTCCAACTGGTAAACCGAGGGAAATACGAAATTTACCACCTCCGACACCACCACGACCTCTTTTGGCTGACATGATTGTATCTTATTTTATATCTAGAAATAACAATATTCACATTAGAACGAAAACAAACTTCAGAATTAAAATATTTTTATATTTTTTTAAAATATATACACAGACACAAACGAGAAAAACGTGGAGATAATTCGCAAAAAAATATTTCTATATACATTAAAATCATTAGCTTTTTGTTCGTAAACGATGATAAGAAACATGTACAAATAGATATGATAACAATAATGACTGCTATGAGCATTTGAAGATCAGTTTCAAACGAAAAAAAAAGCGCAATAGGAAAAAAAGAAGAATATCAAGAATTATTCATGACAAAAAGAAAACAAAGTATAAGAATATCACACACCTTTTAGCCAAATATATTTTATTATTAAGTAAATAATATCTGGTTTTTTCCAATTCTATTGAACGGAGAAAATTTTAAATATCATAATTATTTTCACAAGAATATTGAAACAATAAATTAATAAATAAAAGAGATTCACATGCTTGATGTTGTAGTTGAAGACGTTGTTATTGTTATTGGATAAGAATTCAAATTTGGATTTTTTAATATTCGATTAGCTCGATAATCATATACATAACGACAAAAAAATATATTTTGATTACCAACAGTTTTTGCTGGTAAGGATCGATGATGAACACTCGAAGTATTCTTATTCAACAGTGACTTTAATTGTCCGACTGGCTCCGCATGTTCAAAGAAATTTGATGATTTCTCACGAAGACAATAACTATAGTAGAGAAAAAGAAAATTATCATATGTCTGAGAAAACAAATTTAAGAGGACAAGCCATTGTATATATTCAAAAGTAAGCTGGTAGTGTTTGCAAAAACTCCAGGAATGCGTCAGAAGAAAGACGTCTTACCGATTATATTCATTTAAATTGAGTACATAACATTTATCTTCAATGCATGCAGCATTGACACAATCGGAATATCTTGAAGCTAACAATTCATTTGGTAAAAAACGTTCTTTAGCACGTGCTGATAGTTCCGTATGTTCAGGATGATAATACCAAATCAGTGACATTTGAATTTCATCTGAAACAATAAAAGATGTCGATTAATAAAACAAGACAACTTCTCAGTAAATATGTGTTACCTGTTGTTGGTTCTTTCCAAAACCATTTAACTTTAGCTGAATATGGTGTCGAACTGCTATTCGCGCCAGTTTCAGGACGTAATATAATACAATCATTAGAATTGATTACATCTTTTTCTATGATATGTCGAATCGATGAATAACATTCTCGAAATACTGGCGGTTTATCAGCCTAGAATATTTTCAAAATTGAAAATATCATAAAAAAAAGCAAGATGAATAACTTACATGAATTGAAACAAGCTTCTGTTCGGATTTTCCAAATAAAATCCAATAGTGTGATATTTTCTGTTTTTTTCTTTGATTAACATTTTTATTTGGTAATGCTAAAGCAATTGAAGATGGTGAATAGGATCGTTTTCTATTGGCCGATGATTTTGATCGAGCTGAAATGTTTGACGCTGAATGTGTACGTTTTTCACGTATATTTTTATCGGTTAAAGAAATAGCTCTGATTGAATTTGTTGTAGCTGCTGAAACACTTCGACGTTTAGCAACGCATTCTGGAGACGTTTTATTATCAATAGACACATTAGCATTTAAATTTTGATCACTCAGTACTGGTAAAATAGTTCGCGATTCATTACTATCGATTGTTTTTCGTGGAGATATTGCCATGGAATTATTAGTATATGGAACTTGTTCACGGATGAGTGCAGTAGGTGAACTGAAATAATTATTTATTTCAAGTTAATAGATAAAAATATAAACGAGTAAATGTTCTCGTCAGTATCCGTAACAACTAATCTCGACTTAGTTTTATCGTAGATGCACTAAGAAACATTTTCAAGCATTCGCTCTCAACTATTTCATTGGAAATTATAAAAAAAAACATCTGTAGATAAATTTTGCAGCGGATTCTATCATGGACTAAATTCTGTATTTATGATAAAATCAAGATATATTACCTATTAGATTTTACTCCACTATTCACACGTCGTTTGGTTGGCGATGATTTTCTTCGCGTCGTTTTTATAATTATTTCATTGGATTGTAATTTATTATTAATCGAAAGATTTAACACATCGTTTTCAATCGTTGATGAACGAGGTTTAGATTGACTTTTAATAAGATTGTCATTCTTTGACTTTAAAATAGTCTCCACTTCTAAATCTTGGTCCTTATTAATTACACTAGAAGATTTTTCTGATGATAACGGTATTATTGCTGATGATGAACTTGAATTGTGTATATGATGATGATGATGTGTATGCAAATGAAACGTTAATGCTTCTTCTTTTGTTTGCATATGATTTGAAGCAGTGGATTTTTCTTTTGAATTCAGGATTGCTAGTTTTTTTGGTTTACTTTCCAGATTGACAAGTGACGTTTTCTGATGCGCTGATAATGACGATTGAAATGGCCAAGCTAAATATTGAAAAAATCGATGTTACAATTAATTATCTAATATTGAAATAAGCAGAAGATAAATCATAGAACGTCTCTTGTCGAAATTATAAATATTTCCTTTTATTCATAGTGCAAGAAATAATAATAAAAAAAAAGGGAATAGAAGAAAGCGAATAGAATTCATATGTGACTGTATGTGCAGATTTATTCGTAGTTCTTACATACCAATAGTTGGTTTCAGTCACTATTTTTATTTTCTTTTCTATCTACAATAATCGAATAACATGGTAATGAAAAAAAGGGAATCATATTTGAATGATATTTCAATATGGTTCTTGTTGTTAAGCGCTATTTCATCAGAAAATAACGTATCAAAAAGAAAAGTGTCTTTCTGTGTATAACATCGAATAGACATTCACAAAAATCAACTTATTTCCGTTTATATATTGTATTATACAAGAAAAAGAAATAAAAAAGAAATACCAATAAATAAAATATGAAAAGTATCATGTAAATCATTCATATGGCTTACTCGAATATTGCCAACAAGGTAAAACCGAATAATACGAATGTAAATCGAACGGATATGTAGTCGACGGAAAAAGAAACGTCGGAGAATTAATATGATTTCTTCCTGATAAATATGATGATGCATGAGAATTCATAGAATCGATTGCTTTTGAATCATTTATTAACGATGCTTGAAAATAATACCAAAATAATTCAATATTTACATTCAAATTTCATACTCAACCTGTAGATTTTTTATTCAATAAATTATATTTATTCGTCTCAGATGAAATTTCACATTCGAGATAAGGTGGTGATAATCGATCGTATGAATCTAATTCTTGTGTCCATTTAATAAGACTATCACGTTTGGTTGCATGATATAAGGGTACAGTTTCATGTACACGATTATGTTCGGCTAGTGTAGCTTCAGTCAATAATGGATATTTTGCAATAGCTGATACTGAGATAAGTGGGGAATTGTTTGATTCAATATTTGTTGACGGAGTATGTACAATTTCAATTGGAATACTAACTATCGATGGTGCAGAAGCCGGAACTGATGGAATATTATCTTTAATGGTAATTATAGTTTTTGTTGAAGGTTGTCGACGAATGGTCGATGCTGAATGTTTGTTATTGAGAGAATAATTATAACGACTGCGTTCAATTTCATTTTGTTGCATAATCATAGCAGATGCACGTGAACTTGCTTCACGACGAGTACGCGCAGGTATCTGAGATTCTGTTTGTGCAAGTTTTTTATCAGATTTTGCTGAATCATTAGATATTTGACGTTTTCGAGAAAGAGTTTTAGTATTTTTCGATACTTGTTGAGTCTAAAAAGCAGAAAAAAAATGCTTTTTTTCTTCTTTTGATTTTTCAATCAAATATTTACTTGCGAATTATTTGAAAGAACAGGAGTTGATTTTATTGAACGATTCAATTTTCTCGACGGTGAAAGAATACTATTACAATATTGAACTAGTGCCGTTGCTGTTAAACTAGAAAGACGTTTCTGTCGTGGTTGTATCAATGTTGATGATGATGATGTTGGTTCGCGATAAAGTTTTGTTGGTGAAGATTTTTTTACTGAAGTATTCTTTTTTACAACATTACGACTAACTTTTCGAATCGAATCAGATTTTTGCTTTGATTTCGATGGAGAAACTGATGATGTAGCAGATGTTTTTGCTGCACGAACATGTCGAGACATTGCTAGAAGAAGTGCTCGTGTCTTAGTATACCTAGTGTATCTAAAGCAAAAGTTAAATTAATGATTGATATCGAGTAAATGGAAAAATTTTAATACATAGATAAATAGAATAAATAACAACAAGCGATTACCATTGGACTCGTATGCGTTTTGAGAGAGTTTTAAAGTTACGAACACAATGTTGATTTTGAGAGAAAAATTCTTGTTAAAGATCATTTGTAAAATATTTTATTGAAAATATATGTTAATTAGTAAAAACAATTAACTATTAGAATTAATAATTGGCCGAAAGATGTCGCCGAAAGACATGCAAACGGTTTAAAATATTTTTCGAAAATTCCATTCATGAAACAAGAATATAAGACACACGAAGAAGAGAATTTCTTTTTTTGTCGATTTTGTTTCGAGTGTTGTTTCATACGAATATATCTGTTTGGATACTCTAATAGATACTACTTACTGAGTAGTATTCAGTATAGGTGATAGATAAAATCAGTGATTACTAAGAGATGAGTGAAAGAATACATTAACTGCTCACTTAATTGTCTTGAAATGTTGGCTTTGTCGAATCAAATTTATTTGAATTGAACTGAAATATAAATTGGAATCCAATTAAAATCTTTCATATTTAATTACTTTGTTAGTCACAACAACAGCAACAGTTAACAAATATGACATCTTTTTATTTTATTTCAAACCTATGAGAATTTTCACATGACAAGTCATCTACACATAGACATATGATAACTTATTCTATTTAATTATTAATTTCATCAATAAAACAAATCTAGCTTAAAAAATACATTCATTTCATTGTGATTGTTATCATACACTTGATAAGTGGCAATAGAGCCATTAAAAATAATTCAGTATATATGTCATGTCATATCTATGATTTCGTATCCACATGATTTCTTTTTATCACTTTTCCTAACGAACCATAATTGAAATTAAAATCATAACTATCGTGTCGAAACAACGAGCAATGCTCACTGAAAAATTCAGTTCTGTCTTATCTCACATCGAATAAGCTGATTTATATTCTATACATAAAAGTGAAACATCTTCTTCAACAACAAAACATTTCTCATTCTCGCCCACACCCTCATGCTTTTTCCATATGAATAACTTCTGCAGTCATCAATCATGAGTTGATTATGACGTTAGATAAGCGATGTCTCTAATGGCCATCAAATATCTATTTTCATAGTTTAATAAGCAATCTTTAAAGAGAATAATATGTGGCATGTATTTTATTTATGAATAAAAAAATGCTGTATTTGTACAGTATTAACAAAAAAAAATGTCCAAATCTTTCAAGATAATGACTTTTTTGAGTAGATTCCTTCTTCTAAAACAAAAGTTTAAAAAAATCGAATTGAAAATCTATAAATATTCTCCAAGATACCTTCAAGCAGCGAATTTGAACGACAGAAAATATTTGTATTGAGAAATTCACCAGTTTTGTCACATTTAATTACTAAACGAAAATCGATTTGAGATTTTTTCAATTGATAACGTGCAATTTTGTTTTTTGCATTGTGTCCAACAAATGGACAAGGCATTTCGTTGTTTTCTAAGACGAAAAACAGAGATTGATTGAATCACACATCATTATGAATTGTTCTTACCAAATGCATATAAATTATTGATATGTTTAAGTTGACATTGTTTCAGACGAGTAAGAATCATATTAGGAAAGCTAAACAATGATGATGAAGTTAAATTCTCTCGCAATTAGCAGATGACATACTGTTTTGAACGAGAACAAATCTCTTCTTTGTTTATTTTAAAATAGATTGATGAGCCTTGGATAATAATGTCAGAATGTCTTCTTTGCTTTGCACATGAATAAAGAAGCGGATATGGATGAATGAATGATGTATCTTGATAAGGCACGGTAAGACGAGTAACTCGTATGAAGAGATTAGAACTATCTGATAAAATAATAGGAAGCTAAAAAAAAAGAGAATTTTATCAATGCTATTTTTTTTTTCTTTTTCAAAAAGACTAAATTCGATACATATCTTTGATTTTATCTTCTTGGTTTGTGTGACATAGATTAATGACTTCAACAAATTTATAATTTAACATGACAGCTAATGTAATTATTGGTCAACAGGCTGAATCTTTTTGGGTGGGAAATCTCACTGTTGGAAATAAAAGATAGTAAAGATATCTGTGTCGGCTAGGGTGAGAACTATTCTATAACTACCTGGGACACGATTCGTTTTTTGTCTCATGGTATTCCAGCATTGTCCTGTTTTTACTTATCAATGCTCCAGAAGAGAAAATTCTTCAAACTTCTGTCGAGCTCCAATTCATTGGCCGCTTTTTATTTTGTGTTTCACTTACCTCGATAGTAACGTAACGACCACGTTCTCCTTTTACATAACGGCCCGATAGATTTTTCTTAACATTTTTTGTATTAACTCTGTTTCCATTGATCGGTAAATTTGTAATTTCGCTTACATATCGTACATGATAGATCGGTTCTGGCGGATTAATAAATGAAAGTGAAATATCAAAATTATTTTTTAAATTTACAGATGACTAAAAGAAATGTATATTAATTCATAGAGCACACACAGACAGATATCATTGTAGTAAACTTACAAAATTGTTGGAAATAATATTTTGCTTTTGTTCATCGTTATAATTCGATGGTGGCACGGATATAGCTAAATAAAATTCATATAAAAAAATCTTCTTTATGCACTAGTAATGTTAATTACTTTGTGGGATATCGAAGTTAGAATTTATGAAAAATTTATCGATAGATTTTATAGCTTCTACTTCCACTTCATGTTTTGAAGAATATTCATCAAACGAAGAAAACAATTGGCCAGGATCGATTGGCACTAAATGGTACAGATTTATAAAATATTTTTACAATTAAAATTAAACTTACTATCGATATCATTAAAATCAAGAGAAAGTAGACTATCTTCGTTATTTTCAAATATCATTGCTGTTGAATTAAAAATGATGTCATTCAGAATAGGTGATTCGTCTCCTTCCATTTAGGTGGTTAATTTGCTATGTGATACCACTAAAATGAAAGAAAATCGACTGTCTTTTCTGTTGTGAAGATTAAGATGATATAAAATGAATGACTCTTCATTTTTTCTTTTCATCTGTTTCATACCTACATTAATAAAATGAACGAAAAATATGAATGTTCTGTCTTAACGTATTTTGTTTCTTTTCTGTCGTTCCCAAACTGATGCGAATTATCTTCTCAGCAAAAACGAAAACAAATGATATCCAATCGTTAACAAGGAACGATTATTCACATTTGGCTTGACGGATACGTATTTATAAAAAAGTATATTCCTGATCATCAAAAATGATATCTTCTACTCTTGTTTGTTTTCGCATATGTTTTGTTTTAATCTGCATTTCTAAAATGACAGGCAACAAATATTTATACATAGTGTGATGATCTTAATGTGTATGGGTTCAATTTTAGAAGAAATGACAAAAAGAACCGTACTGTGATAGAAATATAACTGATAGTTTGTGACAAGATCGATATCCATATGTTCCAACTGATACACAGACTGAGTGTGAATTTTGTTTGGCATGTGACTTATGATTATCTCTTAGATTTAGATCTAGACTATGAATCGGGTAATTGCATCATTCAATTTTTTTATTTTTTCAAGACTCGAGGTGTTGCCCATATTAAAACGTTTATTTATGAAAAATTCCTTTGATAGTACGAAATAGATTGTTGAAAAATGTGACTTCGCTATGAGACTATGCATTAATTGCGGACAACAATTAACCTAATTAGTGCAAAATGACCGCAGTTTGGAAAGATTAAAAAATTATTTTCTCATTTTTTATTGAGTGTGGTTGATAAGGTAAAAAAATATAAATGCCAAAAGAAACTTAGCGTCTTCTTTTCTAGTATTACGTATAATTTCATCGAATAAAATTTTTATAATCGCTAAGATTGCTAAAACAAAAAATTCTATTTTTTTCTCTTTTACATTATAGCCTATTCGTTGTCTTTCTTCTCTGCCTGTTTCAGCCAATCGACATTCATCTCTTCAACGAAGAGATTAAAAATTTCTTCATTTTTTTCGCATTCGATATTCAGGTCATTTCAATGCTTAATTCTATTTCGACACTATTGAGATTGTAAATAAAGAGATTTCATATGAAATATTTGTGTTACAATGTGAAATGTTGACTGATCCATACTTTATTAATTTAACATGAATAGATGTAAGTTATCTTAATAGAAAAGATGTTGATATTTCACAAAAAGAAACTAGATAATCATACGCTGTTCGTTCGTTGATTCCTTGATAATAAACGATTAGAAAAAAAAATTCCCACAAATTTGAAATCTTTGGATGTGCAGCGTGTTATGATCTAAAAATGAATTCCTTTCTTGCTATTGAAATTATTTCGCTTTAGTAAAAAGGTTTACTTTTCCGACAGTCAATGGTAGCATTCGTCTATGAAAATATCTAAAAACAATCTTCACGACCATGATGAGATGTGTGATGTTACTTTTTCTTGTAGAACATCATGATATTTTGTTCTAGGGGACTGCTCGTCTGTTATGTCAAAAATCATAATGATTATTTGATGCTTTGTTTCAATTTTTAGCACTGCCTAAAATGGATATGACACTGAATATTTAACCTACGGCTATACTTTATTTAATCTAAGGATAGACTCTGATGTTTTATTTATTGCTCTATATTTGTCAACTGCTTTGATTACATACGAAATATTTACTCATCACTTTCTCTACTCTTCCCGTTCTTTTTATCTTTAGATATATTAAACTACTCTTTAATGACTATTGCTTGAATGAGTGATCTTCATTTGTGAAAATAAATGTGTCTATAAAAAAAAGAGGATCGAATCTCGTATAGTTCTTATCACATGTACACATGATTTACTATGTTTGATGCATTTGCTAATCAGTTATTCTGCAAATGAAAATTGCTTTGTCTACAAATAGTCTTCGTCATTTCAATATGATTCGTTTCCAGGGTTGCCACCTGATGCAGTCTAAAAAGCGAAAAATAGCGGAAAGAAAAACAGAAAAAGCCAAAAGCTTATATTATAGCAAATTTGTCATACTTCTGAAAATATTAGGCATTTTTTCGTACTTATTGCATTTATTTTATCAAAGTTTCAAAACATAGAAGACAATGACGATTCACTGTATTTGTAAACAATACGAATTTATTCAGCAATAACAGGTTTTATTCTTTGCATATGTTCGATATGGAACACGTTTCATACAGAAATAAATGTGAAAACTTCGGATTTCATCCGAGAGTTATGTGTACTGCAAAAAGTGCATGAGATATATGAGTCATTCTAGAATGTCTGAACACCAAAATTATCATGAAAAACTAGGCAATTTGATTTCTGGATGCAGTTTTTGTGCATTTGAGACGTTTTTCAGGCGATGTTTCGTTAGAAAGCTACTGTTTAGGTCAAAACTAATCTCAGATTCAGAATCAGCGTTAAAAACTGAGTCGATTTATATATGTTGTGAATAATTCTGAGAAAAATTTGTTTTTTGAAAAAAACCCTGTACTCCTCCTCAGGAATGGCATGGTCAAAAATGGCAATTTTCTATATAACTCAACCATTTCTTGAGGGATTCTTCTCATCTTCGAACTCGACCGAGATATTCATGAGATTGAACTGTGTGGAAAATTTCATCACGGTCTGACTCTCCTTTCGAAAGTTATCGTGCTTACGGCCGGCCGGACACACTGACCGATTCTAGTGTACTCACTTTTTGAGTACACAAAAAGCGGAAGAGGTGGCACCCTGTTCGTTTCTTTTAAGAATAAGAGAATGATAAGTGAACGTTTCCTATGTAAACAAAACTATTTATAAAAAGATCAAGGGTTAAAAGGTTAACCCTTTCCGGCCGGATGTTGCCAAATGCCAACATTTTCTCCTAGGGGGGTACGGCAATTTTCAAACAGCCGCCCACCCTCAAAAATGATGAGCCCCTACATATCATTTGGTGAACAACTTCTCCTAAGATTTGATCAATAGAATACAATATGATACACGTACACAAAACACAATAGTAAAGATGCGAACGAATTATATGACTAAAAGGGCTTTGAGTTTTCGATAATCTGCTTTCGAACTTTTATCACTTATTCCGATGTTTATTTATTTGATAAACAAGTTGAGATACTAAGCATATAGAATAATTTCAAGTGGTAAAATCAGCTTGCAGATGACAATGCAAATGCTGACACAATACAATACCTATAAGAAATGTAAATTTATCGTAAAGAAATCACGTTTTGTATGTCATGTCTTACATCGAATTGTTTTCCCATCTAGAACAAACCATAATCTAATTTTCTCTTTGCTGAATTCTCTTTGCCTACTTGATAATTGTACTACCATCAACTTCATAATCCCAAAGGCAAGCATTACTCATATGAATATTTTCCTCACTCTTAGGAATAATCATTGCTGTGATAATTGTTTTAAATGAATTATGAATTTCTAACAAAGATTGTTGACATCTATCAACAATCTGTCGTGTCCAACTATTGACATTGTCTTCATTGAATTTATTCCTATTGAGAATATCTTCGACTATTGCTCGAATGATATTCGTAGTATGACTGAGATCGAAAGCTTCGTTCTCAACTAAATCGTTCGAATGATTTACAGACATAAATATAATTTGTTTCGGTTTTATTATTGATTATTAAAACAAAAATATAAATAGTGAAATATTTTGGCGGCTTTAACTTCTATTATTCAGAATGACATCTTGTGAAAGGACACGTCAATCGTATTCACGGTTGGTTAGTTTATATCCATTGAAACATTACCAAGCGATTGACGTACTACTTAAAATAATAGCAAATAGTAGATGCGACAATCATCAAGTCACCTGTTATGCGATAAGAAAAAACGTTTGCCAGTAGACAGCATAAGCTATTCACCACTATGAACATGGCATCTTCTCGTCGAACGAAAATCTTCATTTTTTCATCATCATTCGCTTTAATAATCTATCTTATTCGTCGTTATCGTCGATACCTTCGATTAAAAAAATTTTTCAAACTTGTTCAATCACAAAATAAATCTCTCATGAGCATTACTTTATCGTCATCGATCGGAATTAATAAACGATTTTTCAATCAACTTCTGGTAATCATAAAAATTCTCATTCCACGTTTACGTAGTGATTCATTTGTATTATTTGTTACACATTTAACTGCACTTATTTCACGCACATTCCTTTCAGTTTATATAGCACGACTCGATGGTGCCATTGTAAAATCATTAGTACAACGTAATCCACGTGATTTTATTCGTACGATTAGTATTTTTCTGACTGTGGCTATTCCGGCTAGTTTTATTAATAGTTTTATTAAATTTGCTGAATCAAAACTTGCATTAGCATTTCGTTCGAAATTGACTCGTTACGCTTATGATTCCTATTTTCGTGTAAGAGTTTCTTATCGATATTAGTTGTTTGATGTTTTCAACTAGGTTTACTTCATAGAATCAAACATATTATCGTATATCAAATATGGATACTCGTTTACTTACACCGGATCAAAATTTAACAGACGATATTGAAACATTTACAACAACATTAACACATCTATTCTCTCATCTTACGAAACCATTTTTTGATATTGCAGTTGTATCATGGACACTTGTAGTTATGGTTCAAGAAAAAAAACGAGCACGAGGTCTCAAAGGTAAACATGAGCGAAATTTAATTTATGTTTATTTTTTTTTTTCATTGATGATGTTTGTTTTAATAGAAGTTCCTATTTTAACAATTATAGTCATTTTTATGACATTTTTGGCACTTCGGAAACTTTCACCTCGATTCGGTAAACTTGTTTCCGAAGAAGCAAGACGACGAGGCTTACTTCGTTTTGCACATACAAGAATTATTACTAATGCTGAAGAGATTGCATTTTTCGATGGCCATGAAGTATGTAAAAAATAGGGTTTTTATTGTACTAAATTTTTAACTTTTAAAACAGGTAGAAAAAGATTGGATATTAAAATTATATTATCAATTAAGAGAACAAACAAACTTGATTATTAAGAAAAAACTTTGGTTTATTATGCTTGAACAATTTTTAATGAAATATTTCTGGCATTCATGTAATTATTCATAAATGTTGCTCTAACTTTGAAGATCGCTTGCACTTTGTTTTCGTGTGCTGACAAGTATAAAATTAGAATCTAGTGACTAATTTCAATAGTTAACGAGACGAGATTCTCTATGAAATGGTTTTCAGAGTCGCATTGCGTGAACGAATTGTGAGAAGAAGCTTTCAGAACTTGAAAAACCTTAAGAAGTAAATAAAAAATATTGATTTTTGGTACTTTTAATCAGTTGGAATATATACGTAGTATGCCTAAAAGGCGACTTCGATCTTGTTTTCTGTGTAATTTTTTGTAAAAACCCATACCGTTATGAATCAAGGTCCACAAAAACATATTATCTTAAATGGTATGAATTATATGGTTATTCATGCATTGTGTATTCTAGGTGGTATGGTATTTATAGCTATACCAATCCTGACATATGATGGATCCGGTGAAACAGATGGTAATTCATATCGGTAAGACTAATAGTTGAACACACTTCGCTTTTTTCTTCATTTATAGATCCAATAGGAGATCCGCTTGGAATTAGTTCACGCACAGAGGCATTTACAGTAAGTAAAAATTTATTATCATCGGGTGCCGATGCAGTAGAACGTGTTATATCATCGTATAAAGAGGTAAGATTAATATAAATCGAGACTTTTTGTTTTAATCTTAAAAGAATCAATTAAGATTGCTCAATTAGCGGGATACACAAATCGAGTTTATACAATGCTTCAGGTTTTTGATGAATGCGCACATGAACGATATCAGCGACTTCCAACGATAGTAGACGAAGATTCATATATAGAAGCAAAACGAAAAGTCAATTTAAATCCACAAGGAGGTTTGCGATTGACTTTTTAGATCTACTTTGATTGAAGTTATTTTTGAAAGGCCGAACTATTGAATCCGATGCAGATATAATTGCTGAAAATTTGCCAATAATTACTCCAAATGGTGATGTTATTATCGAAAGTCTTTCATTGAAAGTAAAATCTTTAAATTCATAGGTAGATTTAAACATATTTGTGTATGTATTTCTCTGTTATTAGATTACACCAAATATGCATGTTCTTATCACTGGACCCAATGGTTGCGGTAAATCATCATTCTTTCGTATTGTTCGAGGTTTATGGCCGATCTATTCTGGTTTTCTTCATCGACCGAATCCATCGAATTTCTTTCTCATTCCACAAAGACCTTACATGTGTCCGGGTACCTTACGAGATCAAATTATTTATCCACACAGAATGGGTCAAGCCCGTATCAATGATAATCATTTAATGGAAATTCTTAACAATGTTGAATTACAATATATAGTACAACGTGAAGGTGGTTTAAATGTTGAACGTGATTGGAAAGATATTCTGTCGGGTGGTGAAAAACAACGTCTTGGTTTAGCTCGAATTTTCTATCATAAACCTAAATATGCATTGCTTGATGAATGTACCAGTGCCGTATCGATTGATGTTGAAGGAAAAATATATGAACGAGTAAAAAAACTAGGAATTTCATTATTGACAATAACACATCGACCTTCTCTTTGGTCAGTGAAAATTTATCATTACAAATAAAAAAAAAGAAAATATTCTCTATGTTTAAGGGCTTATCATACACATTTGCTTCAGTTCAATGGTGATGGTCAATGGACATTTGAAATTCTTGATACGATACAGAAAAATGTTTAACACTTAAAGGTGAAAAGGAACGTGCTGAATCTCAATTAGCTGGTATTCCTGAAATACAAAGACGTTTAGATGAACTACCCCAATTACTTGGCGAAGATATAACTGACGATCAGAATTAATATGAAAAAACAAATTCCTTTCTCATTTTATTAATTACTTGTATTTTTATGGATCGTTTCTTTTTTTGAATGGTATAAAAGAAAAAGAATAATGATATTTTTGAGTGAATAGATGACGCAAGTGATTTAGAATCAAAGATCAGTGTCTAGGAACTTAAAAGACAAATAACTTGTATGAAAATGTTCAATTTAATCAATGGAATTGAAATCTATCAATGGCTATATATGTTTTCTTATCAGAAATGTCATTTCCTGTAGTTTTCATGCAGAATATGTAAGATCGTTTTTTTTTCTAATGCCATGGAAATAAAATAATCAATTCAAAAATGTTGCTAATATTTAACAAGTCACGTACAATAACAAGGTGCTAAATATAATGAGCAGAATAATGGTCTCAAATATTCATTATTCTCCGTTTTTTTGAATAGAAACATTAATGATATTTTTTAAAATAAAAATGATGCTAATTGTATTTTAAAACTTGAACAGAGGCCAAGCAATATATCAGTTCACAGTTGGTAGGTGTTAATTCTATTAGTTTTTTTTTTTACCAACTTTAGTTTTTTTCTCTATCTTGCCTCCCACTACTACTACTGGCCTTTTTATATAAAAAGTGTTGTCTACTCAGTACTTAGTATTTCTAAACTTGCATTCATCTCATTAAAATCCATATTGCCTGACACCAACGAAGTAAGTCGTTCAAATGAATGAATAAACCTAAACATCTCATATGAACTTTCTAGAGTATGCGTCAATCCACCTTATTCATTTTATCTCTCGCTATCATACAATTAAGTTATGCATGTTATATTACTAATTGTCCGATTGGCGGCAAGCGAAGTTTATTTGCCAGTAGTATTCTTCATGATCATCAAGTTAGAGATTGATTCATTGTTTTATTTTTTTTCTGAATGACAATAGCTTTTCTCGTTATTTCAGTGTCCACGTTGTGGAGCCAACGGCCAATGTTATGGATCATCGATTTGTTGCACAAGCTCCGGTTGTCGAATTGGACATCGGTCAGACATTCGTCAATGTTCAATTGAAGATCATAGTGTGATCCCATGTACTATCAAAAGTGCATCTTGTTCAGTATTACCCAATGGTCAATGTGCCGCAAATGGCGTTTGCTGTAACACGGGTTTGATATTTATTAGTGCCGAAAATTTGAATGAATGAATCTATTTTTTAGAATCGTGCCAAATGGATGAAACTTGCTCAATGTCATCAAATCAAAATGATGATAGTTTACAAGAACAATCACACGTGTTATAATCGCATATGAAACTCTTCTATTATTTCTTGATTCTAAGTTTTTATTGTAACAACTTGAATATTTTAATTAAATAATAAAGCAGTCTAAGATCAAGATTTTGAATTTGCTATTAGTTTAACACTTGAAAACAGTGTAAATTTATATAAGAAGCCTAAAGAATGGCAATATTGATTGGGAAAAGCCCCTTGTTAGATGTCACTAGTTGATCTTCTTCATGATACGTCAACAATAGATAGTCACTTAGATCAATAGAAATCATTGGAAAACACTTGAAACACACACACACACACACGCCTTTATTGTTTAGTTGTATCAAACTAAACATACGAATCAGTTGTTATTTTACATGTCTCGTCAAAATTCAAATCGTTCGTTCCTTCCACCTCATCATGCATCATCCGATAATGCATCTAGACGATTTCGGCCATCGTCAACACAAAATGATTTTTCCTATTCTCAATATTCATCACAAAGACAAATGAATCATAATAATCCCTATGCAGGATTACCATTTAATCATGCAACAGTAATAATTTCTTTTTTTTTTAATTAGTGAAAATATTTTCTAATAAATATCCTTTAAGACTGCATCATCATCGACTCCATACTATCATTTTGAAAATTCATCAGCAGCTTCTTTTGCACGTCATCCACCGTGGTTTGACTATGAAACGGAAGGTCGTAATAACCCAATACCACGATCGTCTCATCAAAATAATCATACAAAACGTCAACGGCGAACCTCAACTGCTGGCGCCGCTACTGCTGCGCCTACTACTGCATCAAACTTTCAAACATATCATCATCGTGAACCAAAACGTTCAAGAAATGATGAAAATCAACGAGTACAACATAATCATTCATTAAATCATCAGTATTCATCAAATAATACGTAAGTATTTATTCGTAAAATTTGATTCTTACTGATCTCTATTCTATAGAAATCAACGATCTCGACAAAGCCAACCAACTAATCCTACAGCTCATTATGTTCCTTATTTTGCTCGTTCAACGAACTATGGATCACATAATTATTCTATGCAACCACCTCGTCATTTTCATCATCAACAATCACCTGTTATGACTTCAAATAATCGTCATTCAGCATTTTCTTCTCATCAACGAAGTGGAATATCATTTGAGCCAACATCGCATCGTCCTCCATCATTTCATCGAACATCCATGACTACTCATATACATCAACAACCATCATCTTCGTTTCTTCTAACTGATTTACTTCAGTAAGTGTACACAGATATTTTTTTAATCGTTTTCTTTTCTTTTCTCTCTCGTTTCAGTCGTGTTATTGATGCACAGGCAGCATCCTACTATGATAATTACGTGCATTATCATCCATCTTTTGACATGATTTCGTATGCATGGATGTCTCCTAATCATGAAATATTTTCTTTACCAACTACATTTAATATTCAATTTGGTGTAAGTTCTTTGAATGATTTATTTTATTGTAATTTATATTTAATGATTTAATATAGGAATTTTTCGATTCGATTATTCCTGACGAGACGCCAGTAGTTGGTTTAACTGATAGTGAACTTGAAAAATTACCGACAATAATCCATAAAAAAAATTCAACTAATATTAAAGTCGATGATAAATGTTCTATATGTCTAAGTGAATATATAGTCAATGAGAAACTTAAACGTTTACGATGTAAACATTACTTTCATAGTGAATGTATTGATCCATGGCTCAAGGTAAATTTTAGATGATAATCTTATATCTAATAGAAGTTTTCCTTTTTTTTTAGACATCAACTCGATGTCCAATTTGTCGAGGTGAACAAACAAGATAAATGAAATTCTTCCGGATCTTTGTTTCTTTTTCGTTAGTGTTGTATAGTTTTCTTTAAATGTCAGATAAACATGAATTGCATTATTATTACTATTGTTTTTGAACTGTGAATATATATTCTATGTTTTTCATATATGTACTCAGGAAACTTTTTTGTTTTTTCATTTCTGGTGTGTCAACTATTGTCTATCTTTTGTGCGACAGTTTTTCAAACTTTATGTCAGAAAAAAGAACCCTTGCATAGTAAATCCATAGAAAAAAAGGAATTACTCTGTTAAGGGTTTTTTTTGCTGATTTTACATGTTCTTTTTGTGGATTGTTTTATATACTAAATGAAAAAAATTCATTTAAAAAATAAATCATATGGCAGAAAAGAATGATATGTTTGATATTTATATTAAAAACCAACTGATGACATTGACTCTTCATCGAGAAAATTTTTAAGCTTGAAATTGTTTTTCATTTTCAAGTAAGTGATGATTGACATTCGAAAAGCAATAATTATCATTTAGTATTTCTCAATTGTCTCTGACTTCTGTTAGTATGGTTAATAAGTACGGTTGACACGCGGTATGCAGTTCCTGACATGCAAAATTAACGGAAATAATGAAGTGTGTGGTAATGCACTGATGATTATAACCAATGGTGGAACCAATAATTCCTTTTGTGTTATAATTTGATTCCATGATACTTCTAAACGAGACTTTTTCGTGTCTATATTGACACGACGTCGTGCGATGAGTATAATTAGAATTAGTGTTCACACAGAAATACTAAAAAGTTCGATACAGTAATGAACACCAATATTTATTTTGTTATAAAGTGCAATGATTTCAGAGAATTGTACAGCACACCATGTACCTATCAGCAAGTAATAGTATAATGACGGTCAAGTTTTTTTCAATTCAAGTAAAAGACTAAAAGCGATAATATCGTTTTTGAACTTGAAAAACAATGAAACATTAGCAACGAAAAATACTTAAAATTTACGTACTCACCGTGTCCTCCGTGTTTGGGATCATCGACATTATTGGAATCGATCAGTTCATGCATACGTGATCCAAAAGTAAATGTAACAATCAATAGTATTATACGTCCTACAATCTTAGACAGTTTCAACCAACTATTCTTTGGATACAGTGTTACATATACGCGCTCAATGGCGACAAGTGCAACTAGCTTAACGTGAGGGGGGGGGGGGG